GACGCTTCCGCCGCTGAGGCCTGGGAGTCGTACAGGGCTATGTCATCTGCAAATTGTACACTTGGCACAGGCGAGGAAACCAAAGGGACATCGCGTGTGTATATACTGAAGAGGACAGGGCCGAGAACAGAGCCTTGGGGCACTCCGCAGGTGCAAGCCAGAGCAGGGCTGGTTGAAGGCGAGATGAGGATCTGCTGCTTGCGGCCGGACAAGTAGTCGACGAACCAACTAAGGGCTTTTCCAGAAATTCCAACCGCAAGGAGGTCTTGAATTAACTTGTCGTGGTGCACTTTATCAAAAGCCTTCGACATGTCTAATAGGCACAGCCCTGTGGTCTTGCCACTGTCTCTCGCCTTCTGCAGATTATCAGTCAGCACACAGAGGGCGTCTTCCGTGGAACATTTCTTGCGGAAGGCAAATTGTGTTTCGGGTAATGCCTGGGTCAAGTCCAAATGACGAACTAACTGGTGTTGCACTACCCTCTCCAGCAACTTGGACACTATTGGGAGAAGGGATACAGGTCTATAGTTGGTGGGGACTGATGGGTCACCGGCCTTGTACAGTGGCACGACAGACGCCAATTTAAATGCGGATGGAATGGTTCCAGTCCTCAGCGAGGTGCAGAACAGCACAGCAAGAGAATATGAAAGCAAGTCAGCACACTGCTGTAGCAGAGAGCCCGGTATGCCGTCACTACCTGTGGCTTTCCGCGCATCCAACTTCTCAAGGAGACGTCGGACGTCAGCAGGAGTCACAGGATCAAGTTCGGTCAAGGAGACGGGTCCAGCGGGACCGTGCGGGGTACAGAGTTGTTCAGGACGGTTGGGATCGGTGACAATGGAGTGGAACGTGTCGGCCACCTCGCTGATGCTACAACTAGGATCTTGGCGGCGACGTGAACGCTCAGTGACTGCATTTAGAATGGCCCAAGACTTCCTAGGGTTGGCCACATTTTCTTCGCACTGACGGGAGAAGTACTCGTTTCGCTTGCGCCGATACGCGTTCCGAGCAGTGCTACGTGCTTGTTTAAACTCTGCATACAGTGTGCCGTTTGTCCTATCCTTCCGCCAACGGCTGTGCAGCCGCCGTTTACGCTGTTCGAGCTGGTGCAGCTCTCTGTCAGACCAGGGAGGTATCGCCCTCCGGGAAGGCTTAGAGTTGTGCAGCGGGGCATGCTTGTCCAAAACGTACAGGAACTTAGTGTGCCACTCTTTCCACATGTGATTTACATCATTGTGATCCGAGAAATCATGTAGAGAAGCCTCAAGGATATCTTGCCGAAAAGAGTTAATGTCAACGCCACGTATATTCCTGGTCAGCCGCGACGTCGTGGATGACGCGGGTGGAACGTCAACGGCAAGCTGAATAAAGGCTTCCACAGCGCTGTGGTCACTAATATCAGTGGGCACAACCGTTGCTAGGGACACTAGCGCCGGGTTGGTCAATATGAGATCGATCACCGTGCCTTCAGGGCACTGTGGAGTTTCACGGGTCGGCTGCATGACGATGTTCTGGAGGCCAAACGCAGCACAGAGGTCGGTGAGGTGTTTGTGCTGGGGTGCCGGATGGGCTGGGTCCATATTTACATTAAAGTCTCCAACTAGGGTCACGGAAGAAGACTGCACAGCTGCTCGTACAATATCTGCTTCCAAATCTGCCCAGTAAGACACTGGCTCCCCCGGTTGCCGGTACACGCAACCAACCAGGTGTCGACCTGGTTTTCCGTTTATTTCTACCCAGACTGTTTCTGTAGATTCAGAATGCAGATCTGGGCGGGATCGAACTGGGAGATCTTGACGGTAGTAGAAGCAGACTCCGCCACCCAAGCGTTGAGTGCGGTCTTTTCGAATCAGATTGTACCCGTCAATACTGAGCTCTCCGTCTGTAATCTCGGGATCTAGCCATGTCTCTGATAGACCCAAGATGTCGTACTGACGCGTGCGGATGAGGCTGGCAATCTCTGGCAGTTTGTATCTTAAACTACATGCATTGAGCGTGGCTATTTTGATGCCAGACTGAGTCGGCGTAGATGCATGGGGTATAAAAGGTGGTGCATGAGGATTGAGAGGGAGAGTCATAGTAGGGGCTAAAATGTTGATGCAGATAGATACAGACAAATGCGGAATAAGCCAATGAGACAAACAATGCAAGGCGCGTAACCTCTAACAACTTACAAGCTGTCCCTTCGCCTGCTCCCGAGCTTTCGCTGTGGCATACTCATCCGAAGCCTTGTGACGAGTTGACGAATGGCTTTGCTCTCCTCACTCTCAGGCACCTGATGAGGTCTTCCTGTCTAATTACCACCATCCACTTCCCTGTATTGTCTCTACAGACCGCTTATCACATTCCCGTGCTAAAATCAGCTGACAACATCTTCGGTGGACGCAATCAAGTCGGATGGCACGCTACTGGCTTTTTGTCAGCCATACCCAGACGGCGTTTTGGAGGAAAGTTTCAATTTCGCCCCCAGTCATGGATCAATCAAAGAGCTGGATGAGCTTAATTCGCTCTTGCATTGGAATTCACCGAGCCCTTGCGGGACCTATCATGTTCAAGATGCCACCTTTTTTTGCATTGTCTCCAGGGCTTTGGTCGCGGGGCCCTGGAAGACGACGCCTCTAGCTGCCTCGCCGCTGTTCGCAGAATGAGACTGCACTGTAGCGTATCACTCTTACAAGTCACAGTACAACCTCTCTTTTGGTCTTTTCATTTTCATTTATTTATTAAATTTTAGGATTCCCCAAGGCTGTTCGCCTGTCGAGGGGGTTTCCAGGTTTCGCTTGATTGATGAGATACGTGGGATGGGAAAACTGGTAAGAGAGGGAGAAAGAAAAGTCTTGATGATGTCGCAGATGATGGCGGCGATCAGAAACTTTCTTTAGTTAATACAATGAAGTTACCGTTATTGTTGTAAGACCCAGCATGTGCCAGAGTACTATTGTTATGGGATAAGTGGGATGGGTGAACTTTGTCTGTTTCCTCATATTCTTTCCACTTTCCTCTTGTATTCCTCAATGAGGAACCATGTGGCCGTGTGAAATTCAAGAGTCCAGGCGTACGTTCCCATAGTTATAGAAACAAGGCAATATATCTCACGAAAGAAAGGGGGTTTGTCAACCGATAGTAACGGTTACTGACAACCGCTCTATTCAGGTCAACTGTTCTCAAAGCTTTATTTGGGAAAACCACAAATGGATTCAGTTCAACTGTTGCTATTGCGAATAGCAACTGAAGAGAGCGGTTGTCAGTCGATGAACCCCCTTTTCTTTCTACTTTGCAGTTGCGTTTGTCCTGTGTTTACTGTCTTAGTGAGTAGACATGTATCTTAGTGAATACAATGTACATGTACAAATGTATATCTCTCGGTGGCACAAATTAATAATGTTATGATGCGCAGTACTACCTATTGACTTCTGTTTTTCTGTTTTGTTTCTGTTTTTGTTTGAAAATCTTCATTTTACACATGCATTTTCCTGTTTTCTTCTCCTGTGCTAGTGTTGTATTGCATTTGAATCCATTGTGTTAGTTTTTGCCCGTAAAAGAAGCTTTTCATGCAGCGTTGATTTCTGCGAGTGCCTTTGCAACTCCAGGAATCCTGTGTGGTGCCAACCCCTCGCAGGCACATGTACAATGTCATGTATAATCTATGCTACCACACTCAGTTACCCGCATGGGTTTTGCGGAATAGGGGAAAGCGTGGAATACACGAGGACGAGGGATTGGTAAAAGACGGTGTTTTGCTACTCCCTACTAGTATACACGCATCCCTTGGTGTTGCTTGCTTGAGGTACTGTCGTGTGTGACGTCACTACGGTAAACCATGGTATACTGATGTACCGAAGCTATCATACAGGCCCCATGGCCCCATCGTGTGCCATTGCAGCTGCTAATTTCTTGAAAAGTAGTGATGCTATTACTAGTATAGTACTAGTACAGTGCATGTAGGATATCATCCAAATAGCAGAGTCCTGCTTTTCCCACCATGCCAAACTTCTTTGACACTACATGTACACGTGCCTGTGCACTCACAGCAAGGACATGCCATTGCATGGAGTCCGGATGAACAATAGTCGTACCGGCACTTGAAGTAGACGAATATCTAAGCGCCAGTACACCAAGAGTGCACACACAACGAGATCTTTTCGAAGCAGTGCCAAATGGGTCAAAAATACTAATCACACTTTGCTGTACCAGTCATTCAGGATTACAGGAGCTCAACAAAAGACGAGTTACACTCGTGATGCTTTCTCAGAATTTGACATGTCAAGACTTTGGTTGGTAACCGCAAGCACATATATATATGCTGTATAGCACTCCAATAGGTATTGTCTTTGCGTGTATTTGGAAAGTTTGCATTGACCGAAACTGCCCACATCTCTATTGTGCGAAAGGAAAATATGTTACAATCACAATGGAAGTAGTTATTGACCACTTCAGCAACGGAGCAGGAGCGGACTTGCGGTGTGGCAGACCACAGAAACTGCCCAGGGCGGTATGGAAGTGGAAGGATGCGAACGCACCGTGTAAAGAATACGACCACCTGCAACGTGTGGTGTGTAGAACTCTCTCCTCGTCATGGAATAGATTTGCTTTCAAATTCGCTTTTCGACTTGGATGTGAACATGAACAAAAGGAATGGTGACGGGATACGTGGACTCACCAAGTTCCACCCGCAGCAATTCGGGGAAACTTTGGGAACCTTCACTTTTCAAGGTGCGCTTTGCTGGAATAACTCTCCAGGTAAGCTGGAGGTAAGTTTGAAGGAAAGATGTAAACAGGAAAGTCTGAAGGAAAAAAATGACTGTCAAAACCAGGAGTCGAACCAGGGACTCTCGCTTATGGCCAGTGAGGCTCTACCGCTAAGGTAAGGTGTAATCCTCATCCAAGCAGCGACCATTCAAGATTTTCGGCTTCAGACTTCGTAACTCAGACTTCCTGTGAATCCACACAGGCGGGTGGGACACAGCCTTCACTGCGGCCCACACAGTTCACGTACAAACTAGCACACGGGGAACACCAAGTCATAAAATATCCATTGGTTTGAGGGAAAGACGCAAACGGGAAACGTTTGAAGAAAAAATGAAGAGAAATGCTTTCAAATAAACCGTGGAAACTGTGCGGGTGTGGTGATGGTAGTGTTGGTGGTGGTGGGGAGGGGAAGCAGGGACCTGGGAGAAGAAAGTAAAATGTGATGCGGAGTAAATAAAGCTAGAAAAGGCGATAATGGATGTGTTCCAAAAGAGGTTAGTTTAAGGCAAGAAAGGGCCCCAATATCCCCCATACTTCTCAACAGCTGTCTGGCAGGCTTCTGGCCATGCACGTCCACGCTGTGGATTGAATGCTGTTGCATTCCAGGCTGACCAGCGTTCTTGCATGTGCTTCAAGATGTCGGGTTGGCTGCCGGCAATGTTGGTACGTTCCTCTGGATCTTCCTTGATGTTAAACAGACATGGCGTGTGTGAACAGTCCATCACTGCATCAATCCCACCTCTCGGGTTAGTCGAGTTTGGATACTGTGGTCCAGTCCATCCTGCCTGAAACATCTTAGTGTCGAGAATCTTGTAGTCTCCGCTGATCAGTCCCGGACTGAGTGGGATCTCCGTACGCGGTGATGTCATATTCTGTCCAGACAACACTGGCCACATATCCAGACCGTCCACTGCTGGAAGGTTGGCTGCCTCCGCTCTAGCATCGTGTTTGTCCACACCAGCTAGAGAACAGAATGTAGCGTACCAGTCAGCCAGGGCTACATATCCATCATACTTTTGTCCACGCATAGATGCTGGGATCAAACCACCGGATGCAAATGCATTGACACGAACACCACCTTGCCAGTTTGACATCTTTCCACCTCGGAGTGGGAAGTTATTGGCTCCACCACCTGGATACTCTGGTCCACCGTTGTCACTGCTGACAATAATCAGTGTGTCATTCCACATGTTGCGATCGTGCAACGCTTTGGTCAAGTTTCCGATGACGTCATCCAGATAGTTGACCATGGCGTGGTATATCAACCGAGTTTCATCATCGATGAAGCTGAACTTGTCCTTGTAGCTCTGTGGCACCTGAAGCGGTGTGTGAGCAATGTGTGGAGCATAGTAGAGCAACAGAGGGGTGTCCACTGGATGGCTGGACAGAATCTGAGCAAAGGGTTAGAAACAAAAGGCAAAAAACACGAGTGTGACTGCGGCAGGTGCAATGTTAGTTTTCAGACGAGAGTTTGTTCCGTGATACGTCAGGCATTGCTGATTATTTCTCATTGCATGCTGACACTGGGCGGGCATCAATTTGGTTGGCTTTGCCCTATGCCTCTGCACATATCTACAGTAAAACCGGGAATTTTCGGTGGTGTAATATTTTCGGTACTGTATTTCCCAAAAATCAACGGTTCGGTAGCGCGAAAATTTCGGTAAACCAGTTTTCCAGATCCAAAAATGCATTTTGCACACTGTGTGGCATGGGATGGTTGAATTTTAGGTCGCGTTTTATTTTAGGCAAAATTACCTATACCGAAGTTACCGAAAATAAATCTCCACCGAAATTTTCCGGTTTCACAGTATATGCTGATCACATGCTGCCTACTTTCCATGATTACTATCGCATTTCCCCGATTATGAGTCGCACTCGCATATAAGTCGCACCCCCATTTTCACGTCCCAGGCATATTGTTTCAGTAACTTCACACAAGTAGGATGTCACACTTGTTGCAAGTCGCATCCCCCATTTGCACGAGAAACGTTTTGAGGTGCTCCTTTTTTTTCGGGGCAATGCGGTACCCCAAATAATTTCCTGATTTGGTCCCCTCAACTTTGCTTGTACTTGGAGTAGCTATTCAAATGTGTGCACAACAAGAAAGTTGTAATCCTTGGTATGCTTTATTTCCACCATGGCCCATGGCCAATAAGGAAGAGTCTGCAGACACTCACATCCATCACATGCTTCCCGAACATCTCCTCTTCATACACAGTTCCGTTGAAACCCACTCCCGGTCCGTCCGTCATCCAGAGGTCCGTTATATCCGAATGCATGTGCTTGTCATACATACATTTTCCCACCTGCAGTCAAGCATAACAAGTAGCACATCATTCACAGCAGCTGTCGGCAGATTTCCAATGTAGGTTCAATACATGTATTTCCGCAACAGAATACGATTGATACGTCACTAGTTTGAGGGAGTTGAACGGGGAATGTCAGACAAAAGCTTGATCACAAGGACTCCAAAAGGAGACCTTCGCTTTGGGCGAGCGATGCTCTGCCACTAAGCTATAGTATTCGCATTATGCCAACAGAGATCGCTCGACATTTAATATAATGAAGTTGAAGACTCCACTGCAGCTGTACGTATGGTTGATTCATCTGGTGGTTAATGCACACCTGCCCACACACGCTAGGCTAGGCTCTAGGCTGCAAAGTTATTCTGGCACAGAATGACACAGAATGGCAGAGAATCCATATGAAGACATCCAAGAAGAAGATTGCCTGATGAGTCCAGCGGCGACGAAACGTACGTCGCAATCGAGCTATGTCGTTGCTGTGTCATCTTCTACGTGCCATGCGCTACCTGATGTACCAGCCTGCTATGTCGGATACCGCTAACTATGCGTCGACTAGGTGCCAGGCGCAACCTGATGGTGGTGGTGGTGAGAAGGAAAGCTAAGTGCCAGAATAACTTTGCAGCTTAGAGAGCTTGTGTGGCAGGCGTGTATTTACCACCATATTAATCAACCATTTATACTTTATACAAACGGTGAGGAGACAATAATTATGTATACAATAAATGAGGAGGCCGAGGGTTTATGACCAATAAAAACTATTATAAAAACCGAGGTCCCCCGAGGTTTTTATAATTAGTTTTTATTGGTCATAAACCCAAGGCCGGAGCATTTATTGTATTTAGAATCAACCAGTAAAAACTCCTACTCAATCTCCAACAACAAAATTAGCGGACAGCTGTTATTTGTGTTGCTATGACAACCCGTGTGCTGGACGAGTATTTGTTGTCATTGGTTCAATTTCTTTTAGTCTTCATAGGCTATCGCATCATTTTCCTTATTCGGTCTATTTATAACCAGTATCTATAATGAGAGTGTGGTCTGTCTCCATGGTTACCGGTGTTCATTTCATAACTATAGCCACTGCTCCTTGTTAGACCTTATCTGGAAGGCCCATTCTTGCATATTCCAACAGCAGCCAAGGGAGCTAGCTCTCTTGGTTATGCGGACTGGGTCCGATCCTAAAAAGCTGTTTTTATGAACTGTTTTTATGAACTGTTTTTATGAACTGTTTTTATTGGATAGGATATGATTATGTTCAATAAACGAGGTTTGTGTCAATGGGAGATTGACTTGGAGTTTTTACGAGTTGATTCTAATATTTGATAACCGCGGTTATCAAATTATACTTTATACTGATCAGGGGCAACGTCGGAAGGTAATTTAGTGTGGTACGGTCAGCCATCTGAAGCACAGTTTACTCGTGGTATGGGGAGGGGTGGCTGAGCCGAAAATTTTGGGAAATTAGAGCCCAAATCAGTGCATTTTATTGATTCACAGGGTACTTGGGGCAAATAGTGGTACGGTCAATACCGTAGTGACCGTACCGTGTCCGACGCCCCTGCTGATAATAGTGTAAAATTATCATTTTCTTCTCTGTTTTGTTACGAAAGTTACCGTATTATCTCTAATAATATAAGCACGGTCCTTTATTTTTTCAATGTACCTGCGCCCCGTGCTATTAATGGAGACGTTCCTTTATTGGAGACTGTTCCATTATTATTTCAACCTCATTTCAGAGGCATGTTGCCATGTCAAATTTATATGTCAGACACACACATTTCAGGGTTTTTTCGCCGGTACAGATAATGAATTTATACAGTGTGCTTATAATGGAGACTGAGCACTTTATTTTTTGAATGCCGCCCCAATGTGTTCTATTATTGGAGACGTGCTATTGGAGACTGTGCTTATATTAGAGATAACACGGTATAAAGATACCTTTTCTGTATAGTAGTCGTTATCGTGGTGGAAGTAGCCAAATGTCGTGTCGAAGCCTCGGCCAGTTGGTGTATGATCCGGTGTGGCCATTCCAGCATCCCACTTTCCAACGTGGTGCGTGGCGTAACCAGCAGACTTCAGCTTACTTGCCATACCAGTCATGTTGCGAGGAATGGCCGCGAATCCAGACACTGGATCCTCCGGATTGTGAATGTCTGGGCTAGCGTTAAGGATGTTGACGTGAATGGGTAGTCGTCCACTCATTAGAGATGATCGAGAAGGCGAGCAGAACTTGTACGCATAGTGCTGATCCAATTCAATGCCTTGCTTACAGAGCGAGTCAAAGTTGGGTGTCTGCACTTCCTTGGTTGGAGTTTGTCGATGATAGCCAACATTTGCCCATCCCCAATCATCCACCAGGATCATAACGATATGCGGCTTGGCACCAGCCGCTGGCTGCACGAATCTCTCACCATTGACGCCGCACGTCGATAAAACCAGTGCCACGAAGGCAACGTTCACAGCCAAGTGAAGGGCCCACATCCTTACCTCGCTTCGATGTGAAAAAGTGAAACAGATGATTCTGATCACAATGTTTTCTCGAGTGCGAAATCCTATGAATGTTTCAGTCTTTGGCTACTGGCACTGTCAGTGTGTCACTTGCCAGTTGGATTTCAAATCTTGTCACTGCAGCCAGTGTAGAAGGTTTAGGGAGTCAGGCTTGGTGGTGCACCGGTAGTCACCTTTGCGTTTGGCATGTCCACCCATACTGAATCCGATATCGACGATGGGCAGTCGAACGGATTGGCTGCTATTTTTTCCTGGGCTCTGTGGTGACGTTTGAAACACGTTTGATCCCGTGATACAGCTACAGAGACTGTTCAAGTCTGTCTGTCTGGTTACTTGAGTGGAGTTGAGATCAGCGCACTGCTACCATGGTAGATCAGGTAGATAGAAGTTTGAAGCTGTATGTTCCCTTACCGTACTGTAGGCTAGCAGCCGCTGTAAAATCGCTTCCACTGAGTCTGTCCCACACCCAAAGACGGCCTGCGAATAGTTTCGTACCGACCCCTTTTGCATGCGGCAGTTACTGGCTAAAACGTTACTTGTAACTATTACTTGTCGGCAGACGCTAGACGCTAGACGGGAGTACAGTCAACTTCGCTTATAACGACACTCGGCGGGGCATCAAAAAAGTGTCCTTATTCGCGAAGTGTCGTTATATCCGAAGTCTCATTATATTTGTCACAGTTGGATGGGACTTTGCTCCGGGCATGAAAATTATGTCGTTATTCGCGAATTGTCGTTATATCCGCAGTCGTTATTAGCGAAGTTGACTGTAGTTGTCGGTGTAGTTTTCAGAAACAAACCCCGTAACTCTACAATTACCGGCACAAACAGACTGTTACGGGTCGCAGAACGTACCAAGAATGAGGGCCTGGTCTCCGGATACGATGATCGGCATTGCCTTTTGCTTTGTGGCACTGGTTTTATCGACGCACGGCGTCAATGGCGAGAGATTCGTGCAGCCAGCGGCTGGTGCCAAGCCGCATATCGTTATGATTCTGGTGGATGATTGGGGATGGGCAAATGTTGGTTATCATCGACAACCACCAACCAAAGAAGTGCAGACTCCCAACTTTGACTCGCTCTGTAAGCAAGGCATTGAATTGGATCAGCACTATGCGTACAAGTTCTGCTCGCCTTCTCGATCATCTCTAATGAGTGGACGACTACCCATTCACGTCAACATCCTCAACGCTAGCCCAGACGTTCACAATCCAGAGGATCCAGTGTCTGGATTCGCGGCCATTCCTCGCAACATGACTGGTATGGCAAGTAAGCTGAAGTCTGCTGGTTACGCCACGCACCATGTTGGAAAGTGGGATGCTGGAATGGCCACACCGGATCATACACCAACTGGCCGAGGCTTCGACACGACATTTGGCTACTTCCACCATGCCAATGACTTCTACACTGAAAAGGTATGCATATTAGTATTAGGTGTGTAGACTTTTCCTTTTCCATTCCCTCAACTTGTGTAAATATAATAATGTGTGTGTGTGCGTGTGTGTGTGTGTGTGGTATGTGTGTGTGTGTGTGTGTGTGTGTGTGTGTGTGTGTGTGTGTGTGTGTGTGTGTGTGTGAGTGTGTGTACAGGCGCTTGCGCTGGTGCCCTCCAAAGGGGGGTTCCGGGGGCCTCCCCGGGAAAATTTTAAAAAAATGAAGCAAAATCCTGCATTTTGAGCGAAAAAAGGGGGGTTCAGGGCACCCAGGAACCCATACGGGGCACGCGCCAGGTGTGTGTGTGTGTGTGTGTATGTGTGCGTGCGTGCATGTGTGCAAATTTGCTTGGGAAACCTGTCTGCAGTGGAGTTGTAAAATGAGATGCATTGTACTGTCAGCAGTGGGATACCATACTGTGTAAGTACACATTTTTGTTTACTAAATCTTTCGTTAGATCTCCACCAACAGGTTCGTTACGAACTAATTTTAATTTGGTTTTGGTCGAGGTCTGTCACCCCTAACGTTCAGAAAAAAACTTTAGTTAGGAACACACTTCAGTTATTTCGTGCCCCTAATGACTATATTATTAATATTATACGCATTCCCGCGTTGAAGTGTAGCAGCAGTATGCTGCGTCCATAGCTTTGCTTATGCAGAATGGCTTGGGTGAGAGGAGAGGGGAGAGAAAGCAACAAGGCAACAACATCTATGAAATTGGTCACAATAACATGAAGAGAACCAACCTACATATGCATGATTGCACAAGAATGGATGCGACAAAATATAATGGCTATAATCATTGTGCCACAAAACCGGTACACAGGAGATCTGTCGACAATGTAACGAAACATAAAACTCAGTTACTCAATACAGGTTCCACTAAATTACAAGAGAACAACGCTACAACGTTAGAATTGCCGCTAAATTATCGCAAGTGTAGGGAACGAGTCCAATACAAATGAAAACCATGAACAGACTGTCCCGAAGTTATTTTGGGAACAAATTGTACAACATGTACTTGCTGACACTGACGCTGACGGAACACGAATTTGAGTTGAATACTCACGAAGTCTTGTACATGTACATCATTATTAACGACTATAGGCTAGCAAAAGTTAATTCCAAACGGAACTGTGTCCTTACACAGTACTAATGATACTACCTATGGTCAAGTTCTTCTGCAGCATACATGCACGTAAGATGCAGGAAAAGTTCACTTGTCTTTGTGCACACCTGCATAGTATGGCGCTCTACCACGGTTTTTCATACTGTAAAGCGATCAACTTCCACGGCGCACAAAGTTTGCGTTTTGAAGAATTGCGCTGGTTCGCGATGAGAAACTTTCGCGATTAAATTTCTTCAATTGGATCTTGTACAGTCTACAATCAATGTACAGAGCAATTTGCGGCGATTTATATTCGCGAATTTGTGAAGGTAAATCTATCCTTCTTCGATCAATCCATATTTGGCTTGCATCATACTGGCAACTCACATAAGATAAGAGCCATACTATAGCTCAGTTGGTTAGAGCATTGCTCACGAATAGCAAGGCCCCTGGTTAGGGTCCAGCGGATAATGCCGGCAATATATTCGGCATTATACGACTATCCGAGCGTCAGAGCATTATGGAGCATCATAGTAATCCTGAAATAAAGATTATTATATAGAAAGGAACAAACGAGCATTATGTGAGGTTTGAGCGGCATAACGAGTTTCATAGTGGATAATATCGGGTAATCCCAGGTTTTTGGCAACAATCGGCTACAATCATGATCATGAGATGTTGTCTGATGATTGGTTTTTGCCATGAAACTCTGAGTAACAACGAAACAGCCCTATTTTACTCCTTTTGTGTACCTCTTGCGTACTACGCTCCGCCCATTCCGGGCCGCACTATGCATTGTACCGGCGCATGAGTTTGTGATTGTGTAGACACGTAACACCTTTAGCACTAACGCTACATAACTATCGCTACATAAAAAACGTTATGATTGTAGCGATGTGGTCAGGTAAATGTATACAAGCCATTTGTGAAGCATGCCAACCGAGGCGCCGAGGCAGTTCAAGTGACACAAATCCGGAGAAATTATTACGAGGTTTCTTTAACTTTTAGAATAATGGTGAGCTATGGAGGAGACATACGCGAAGCGAATATCAAACAGACGAAAAAGAGTTTTCTAGTTGTGCCAGAGGCTCTGGCGATAGCATCTCTAGCGATACTGAAGTAGACACTGATGCATTGCTAAATAATTATTTTTAAATTTGGGCCAGGATGAAGGAGCGGCTATAAACAGAAAGATCTCGTTACAAAAGAACTGACTTTGCCGAGTCCAGCTCAGGAGGCTCGAAAAGAACTACTTGTAGAATTTCTCATGGATTCAGTACCAAGTCGATTGCTCAGCAGCGCCTGTCTTACTTTCCTGATGAAGCACGTACAGTTAGTTGTGGATGGTTGTAATGCCAGGCCTACAGTCAAATGCTATCAGAAAGGAAGAGTATTGTGGCAAGCCATACGTCTACACACCATCTCAAGGAGAAGATGAGAGCACAAGCAAAGGATGTAGAGTGGCAAAAACACTTCTGTACACGTGTTTTCAGGATTTCCGCAAATGGGAGGCTCTCCATCTGAGATCGGATCTCAGGAGCTGGCTTCACGTCTGGTGTTTCAGATGAAGACATTATTCACAGAGTGGACGCAGTGACAGCTTGTCTGCAGGCAGGAATACTATTTGCCAAGATTAACTTCATCCTAACAATGAATGACTACCTGCAATAATGGTTTCATCTCTCAACTCATGGATAATTAGGGGGAAGATTTGATACACCGACTATTCTGCCACAACCCTGCATCAAAGTTGGAATGGAGAGCAATCAATGGAGAAGCGATCATGTCTTATAGTGCTAAGAAGTGGTGGAGCTCGTGAGAGATAAGGTGGCAACTTCAGATGCAGATCAACGATATGCATAATTTCCTGGAGGTTTTTCGGTGTGCAGACTTTCTTCCATTTTTGTCCCAAACCAAGAGCATTATAGCCCTTGCTGAAGCATTATAATCAGCATTATAAGGCAGTTTTTGGAGCATTATGGTTAGCATTATACGAACATTTTCGGAGCATTATCCGCTGGACCCTATCCCTGGTTCGAGTCCCGGTGGTGTGACTGATGATTTTTTCTTTCTTTCATATCTGGCTTGCAAGTTTTAAGTTTCGGAGAAAAAAGAGCAGTACGTGGCATGTGGCCTCTAATTTCCTAAAAACTTTGAAATTCTCCGTGAAGTCCAAATTTGAAATTGCAATTTGTGAAGGTCGCGAAAAAAAAAAAAATTCACGGTTCGCGTGAGACTCGGCTGGAAGCCGGGCTTTCCGCATCCGTAGGAACGCCACCACCCTTCAAGGATGAAGGCGCAGATGCAGCTCCTAAAGCGGTGGGAGGTGAGTAGATCAGCTCACCAGCAAGTGGTCAAGAAAATAGAGAAATTAAATCTCTAGCAAAAGTTTCTCACTTTCCAGTATTCGTACATATATGATTCTTATTCTTATTTTATTATTATTCCACAATCATGATGACATAGTGCCAATAAACATGTGATGTGGGCGATTTTAACCAGCCATGGTGGGGAAAACTGAGAAAAAGAAGGAGAAAAGAACAATGAAAACAAAACGAAATGAGGACTAAAGGAACCTGGAGAGAAAGCAGTATGAAGATTAGGCTAGCAATGGAAACCAACGAAACCGTCGTAAATTCAACTTTAAGGCAGAATGGGACAAAATGCAGCATAGGTGGCACGAGACTTTACCTCCTGCGGAAGCCGAGACCAATGAGAAAAGAACTTTAATAGAGGGGATTTAAAAGGATCGATGATCTGGCAAGTGGGAACTGGAGAGATTATCTAGTAGGCGAACTATTATTGAACCATGCCGAGTGGGGAAAGCGTAAAGAGAGAGGAGGGAAGCGGAAGCCAAAATGTATAGCGCCTGAGAGGAGGTTAGATGGGGCATGCGAAATATTAATCGAAGCAATTTACGGTGCGTGACTTCTAACCGATGCATAAGAGCAGAGGATAGACCGGAGGACCAAACGAGAGAGCAGTAATCAAACAAAGGAAGAACATAAGAGTGATAAATTGTTTGGACGGACAACTCCCGACACATCAACATATCCTGGCACAACAAAGGCACAGTAGTTAATTAAAATTCATACTATTATTACAAAAAATTTGGGATGAGACCTGACCGGTTTCTGCACGTAGAGTGCTTCATCAGAGGAATGAAAAATGTTGTCTCTGACTATAGCTTATATGCACAGCAAAAGAAATCAACAGATGCAGTAAAAGATGCGATAGATGCAATGCAGTTGCAATCATAGGGTGACTGGCAACAAATGCAGTAAAAGGTGCAATAGGTGCAATGCAGTTGCAACCATAGAGGTGTCTAGCAACAAATGCTGTTGAGAGCGAAAAAAGCGCAATGCTGCTATAGAGTTATACTGTAGAGTTCATAAACCGCGGAGTTAAGTTGTATAATCCAGGAAAGGTGCGTGAACTGCAGGTAAGGTTTAAAAGCTAAAAGTTGTATTTTTGGTTGGTGCCAGAAAATTCTATACCCAAAGTCTCATTATTTGTATTACAGTTGGATGGGACTTTGCTCTGGGCATGGAAATTCTGTCGTTATTCGCGAATTTTCGTTATATCCGCAGTCGTTATTAGCGAAGTTGACTGTATTGACCTCTTTAATCGTGCAATAATAGGTACTGAAGTACATATTCGCCCATATTCACTCGGCTTCAGGTAATATTATAAACATATACATAGTTTACGAGAAAGATGTTTGGTCCCTGTTGTTCTGCCTTTGTTTACATAGTTTATACATGTTTTCACACAATCATGACTGTGTTGCACTGTGTTGCACTGTGTTGCAATGCATCTGCAGTATGCGATGGTGCACTGATTAACGGTATGTTCGTATACTATGGTTGTTGCTCGGTGCTGTGCTGTACAGGCTGGTGGGTGTATGTACGAGAAACACAGGCACAGCGACATCACGGACCTGTGGATGACTGACGGACCAGCGGTGGGATTCAACGGCACCATCTATGAGGAGGAGATGTTCAAGAAACACGTTCTGGATGTACGTGGGAAGATTCTAATGCTGAATCGCTAGTACTTTGAATCTATATGTATGTACTGTCGTGGTACAGGGGAAGTTCTACCACATACTTTGAAGTACAATGTAAATGAGTGACCCTGCCAAAAGAGAGCTGTACTGTGTTTACAGCCATCAGAGACCGTGACTAGTATGGATTCTGAGAATTTTGATGGGATCGTTTTCACTGAGTTCAGCATGCATGCATTTTCAAAATATGGTGACCCATCTAATGCACCAGATGGTATGGTTTGCAAGTGCAAAACCCTGGAAAAGGCCGGCCAAGCCTTGTGGCCCACCTGTTACCAGTGTCTCCTTTCTAGGGTGCCTACGTCACCAGATATACAACCTTTGGTCTGTGTGTGTGTGTGTGTGTGTGTGTGTGTGTGTGTGTGTGTGTGTGTGTGTGTGTGTGTGTGTGTGCGTATGTGTGTGCGTGCGTGTGTGTGCGTGTGTGTGTGTGTGTGTGTGCGCGCGCGCGCGCGTGCATGCACCCACACCTGTACGTGTGTGTTTGTATGCATGCATGTATGTGTGTGCATGCATGTGGGTGTCTATTTGTGTGTGAATTGATGTAGATTCTAAGCAGCCACCCAGTGGACACTCCTTTGTTCCTCTACTATGCTCCACACATTGTACATGCACCACTGGAGGTTCCACAGAGCTACCAGGACAAGTTCAGCTTCATCGATGATGAAACTCGCTTGAAGTACCACGCCATGGTCAACTATCTGGATGATGTGATCGGAAACTTGACCAAAGCGTTGCATGATCGCAACATGTGGAACGACACACTGATTATTGTCAGCAGTGACAACGGTGGACCAGAGTATCCAGGTGGTGGAGCCAATAACTTCCCACTCCGAGGTGGAAAGATGTCAAACTGGCAAGGTGGTGTTCGTGTCAATGCATTTGCATCCGGTGGTTTGATCCCAGCATCTATGCGTGGACAAAAGTATGATGGGTATGTAGCCCTGGCTGACTGGTACGCTACATTCTGTTCGCTAGCTGGTGTGGACAAACACGATGCTAGAGCGGAGGCAGCCAACCTTCCAGCAGTGGACGGTCTGGACATGTGGCCAGTGTTGTCTGGACAGAATATGACATCACCGCGTACGGAGATCCCACTCAGTCCGGGACTGATCAGCGGAGACTACAAGATTCTCGACACTAAGATGTTGCAGGCAGGATGGACTGGACCACAGTATCCAAACTCCACTAAACCGAAAGGTGGAATAGATGCAGTGATGGACTGTTCACAGACGCCCTGCCTGTTTAACATCAAGGAAGATCCAGAGGAACGTACCAACATTGCCGGCAGCCAACCCGACATCTTGAAGCACATGCAGGAGCGCTGGTCAGCCTGGAATGCAACAGCATTCAATCCACAGCGTGGGAGTGCATGGCCAGAAGCCTGTCAGACAGCTGTTGAGAAGTATGGTGGCTTCTGGGGACCATTTCTTCCATAGAGATATCCTTGGACAATGTAAGTGAAGATGTTTTACTGAAACTCTGCGTGCGTTGTTTCTCCCTTCGCTTCGTTCTGTTACTGTTAGTCCTAGGTTTTCAGTATTTCCTTTAGTAGATTATCTTCGAGCAGTTTCACGATTTTGATTGATAGAAGCTATACCCATGTCTTCATTTGCATAGTATCTTCAGCTATTACCGTGACAGCAGAATTCTTCCTCTGTCCACACAGTGCTCAATACCCCAGTGGGGAGACTTTTCCTTAAAGACTGAGAAGTTCACCCTAAAATGAAAACTTTACAACCTGTAGGGAAAAATGCACTGATTACAATGGTGAAGGTCCCAGGGTGACCGGAGCAGCCGTTCCTGAGTTATACCAGCTTGAAGTTTGCACTAAATTTGGTGACATCATGATGACATCATTAACTTGCCTAGACTAGGCCGTATTTATGACGTCAGAGAGATAGACTTTGTATGGGAATAGATGGGGAAAAACCAATTTATTTATTGTTTCTCTGCAACAATGAATTTCATACTAGAATGTTTTTCCAGTCGGGATACCGGTAGGGTGCCATATGTCCCAAGTTGGAAAAAGATCTGACTTCTTTGGGACAATGGGGAGCCAAAATACTGAAACTTCCCCATCTACTGCCATACAAAGTCTATCATCAGGCTCTCTGACGTCTTAAATCCGGCCTAGTCTGGGCAAGTCAATGAAGTCATCATGATGTCACCAAGTTTAGTGCAAACCTCAAGCTGGTATGCTAGTGACTCGGGAACGGCTGCTCCGATCAACCTGGGACCTTCACCATTGGAATCAGCGCATTTTTCCCTACAGGTTGTAAAGTTTTCATGCACTGTGGTAGTCCTCAGGCAAACAGATTGCAGCATGCTCTTAGCCATTATGTAAAATTGATCACACACCCAAAGCTCCTTTGGTCGTCCTTATCCGGCCAGAACCAGAAACATGCTGGTGCATGCCAGAATGGAAATTTAAAAAATCCCTGAAGCGGCCCTCTGTACCGTGACAATGCTTATCGAGTTGATGGGCTTCTTTCAGTCTGCTTGCTATTCACAAGAAGTGTACTCTAAATAAAGAGAGCATAGTTTCATTGAGCATCCCTTGAAAGGACAACTACGGTGAACAAGAACAAGAATGGGAATGGCAATGGTAATACCACCAGCAGCGGCGGCGGCAGCAGCAGCAACAACAGGAACATTAACAACAACAGCTCGAATCCGACTTGAAACAGCTGCTGTCTCTGCTATAAGACGATTTCCACTTCAGCTCCTCAACTGAGGGAACATACTGTAACACCAGATATTTCAACGTCAATAATGTTAACGATCTCCGGATTTTTGTGGGTTAGCGAGGTGAAATTCTAACTAATTCTGTCTCAAAACCGGCAAATGACTGTGCTTGTACATATCGTTTGGCACATAACGACTTCAAATGTTAACGATTTTCTTAAATTCGTTAAATCGTTAGCTGCTAGCGTGTATAATGATATCTTCACATCTACTCAGTGCGTCCTCTAGGCCAGATGTAGAAAAACCCGGGTACACGTATACCTGGCAAAACTCTTGCAACTCGGTCAGAGTCGGGTACATTCAAATGCGGCAACTTATCAGGGAGTTGTAAATATTTGTATTACTCCCTGATGTACGCGCCTGCAGCCTGTCAGACCTGGAGGTACAAAAAAAAGTATTCGATGTATCATGTATCCGACCAAGTCGGGTCACAAGTGACACGGTGATTTTTAAATGAATCCAAGTACCCCCCCCCCCCCCCCAACTGACCCAGCTGCTACTACCCCCCCCCCCCCCCCCGCAAAATGTCAGCCAATGACAAAAGCCGGATATCACTAGGCATGGGCGGGTAATGCTAGTTATTTGCTGCGATAATGCGAAAGGCAATGCTCATAATGTGAGGATATAATGCCACTTATAATGCTCACACTACTGCATAATGCCAGTTTGAAAGTTAGTTGGAAAAGTCGATTTAAGGAGGTCGTCTTGGATCAAGGCCAAAGCGTAGAAGAAGAAAAAACTTAAACAGCAGTGAGCATGTTGTCTGAAACCATCCACTGAGAAGGTTGATTTGCAATTTCAAGTCCCCGGACGAAGCCGGACAGGTTCAGATGCACGGTTTTCGGAACTGGACCTAGCCAGCTTCATGCATGACACCGTTGTCGACCAGCAATTATGCTTGTAATGCCAGTTTTTCATGCGAAATGGTATTATAATGCCAGCATTATGCCACCTGGAAAAAAAGGGACTATAATGCCAGCCATACGGCTAGCATTACCCGCCGATGCCTAGATATCACAGTCTCACAGAGCACCAGTGGCCATACCTATGAGGCCCGGCATTCTAGTCAAAGCTATAATGATTTCCAGAAATCCTGTGTGAATAGCGAATATATGTCAAGTCATGTGATGATGAAGGTGCACTGGTGTGGTAAGAAATATTCAACTGATATGATGAGTAACTACTATGGCAAATGATTCGACAGCACACTCCAGATAACACATACTTGAAGAGTATGGCATACAGCAGTAACAGTTAGTGAGATATCGGGATTCATGAAATTTTGTTTGGTAAAATGGACCCTGGTCATGGGCAGCAAAACCGGTGAATGGCCCTGCAGTGATGTGGTGTTGTCACCATCAAGGCCAATGTGATTTGGTGTTCTCACCATCAGGGCCAATGTTGTAGGTCATTGCAGCACTTTAAGCGTGCCCATTGCCAGATCCATTATAATAAGGGAGACGTGTGTGTGTGCGTGCGTGCGTGTGTGTGTGTGAGAGAGAGAGAGAGACAGAGGGAGAGATAGAGAGATAGATATCTAGTTAGATAGATACTTGATAGATAGATAGATAGATAGATAGATAGATAGATAGAGAGAGAGAGAGAGAGAGAGAGTTTCCATTGAAAATAGCATGTAAACTGATAAATTCATGAAGGAAAAATCAATAAGTATTTCAGGGAATTGATGAGTACCATTCTATGTTATTGGGTGCAAAGATTATGACGTGTTCTGTGATACTACTCGTGTTTGTTTGTTTGTTTTATTAGAATTCGCTGTCACTCACAAGCAGAGGTGCTCAATAACGAGGCAGCAACTTTCTGGCTTTGCAGGCTTTTGATCACCGTGAGAGATGGCATGTAGTCATACTTCAGTAGTAGGGTTGAGTTGCCAGGCTCTTGTCAAGCAATTTGCTTTGGCGGGCGCTGCTCACCTTCTCGTTCTCCCTTTCCTTTGCTTGCATCACTGTGAGCAGCTCTTCTGGTATGAGAACAAGTTGAAGATACTTCGTACCGTCCTTTGAAGTGTCGAGCATTAGCGCCACATCGACTTCACCATCCAGGGAACTGTGGTCGTGTTCACCATGGTATATCAGATGTGCCATTCTGTGTAGCGTAGACGCACAGCAGCACAAATGCCAAACAGTCATCACACACGAAAAACTAGCCATGGTGTACTGCTGCTATTACGAAATAGATAGTCAAACGATCAAAGGATGCACTTGAGTACCCACACCCCTGCACTGGTCCGGCCTATACATTTAGGGTTAAGGTGGACAGGCATGGATACTTAGAACATAGAGCATGACTTAAATCAAACATTAAACCAACCACAGTGTCTGATACAAGTACTTTGCCCACTTATTTGTCTTGCCCATGCCGTGAAAATATACACGATCTTCAGACCTACAATGTAGTGACCATTATGATGTGGCATACTTTCAACCATGAACAATCACAACTAACGTTTAACGACCGGTCCCTCCACCGTGCACGATACAGGGACAGGTCGTTATTCGAAAGGTTAACCCGATAGCCGACTACACAGCCACTACACTCTACAGTGTAACTATATCAAATACAAGTACAGTCTGTATCGGCTATAGCGTACCCTTTTGATTTCCGTGATTATATCACTAGAACCGATGCATCACTATAATTATGCGATACGATCGATTTTTTTTCTTTTTTCGATCGACACATGAAAGGCGAGAAAATACTTCCAGCATGGCGTTTTGACAAATGAGCATGCTACATAGTTGACAGTGCCCGCATTTCCATAAAAAATTCTGTTATGTACATGTACATGTATCACTATAAAAATAAGCAACGTGAAGAAAGTAAAAAAATAGAGCCTTTGATATTTATTGCTACATGCATTTTAAAGTTACTACAGCCATTATAGTGTGTTATGCATGTTTTGATTCTTTGTTGCCATCATAATATCCGATATATCATTACATCCGATAATATTGGTTATAGTGATACTTTTACTGGATAAAATACGTTTTGCTTTTGATAATTCGTACCAATATCACTGTAGCCGATATATTCTTATATCCGGTCACTCTAAAGGGGCGTCGGAAGGTATTTTAGTGTGGTGCGGTCAGCCATCTAAAGTGCAAGTTTCTCTTGGGGAAGGGGTGGCTGGGCCGAAATTTTTGGAAATTTAGAGCCCAGATCAGTGTATTTTATTGATCCGCGGGGTACCTAGGGCAAAAAGTGGTACGGTCAATACCGTAGTGACTGTACCGTGTGCGACGCACCTGCTCTAACAGACTGTATTTACATTACATGACTGTATAATTATTACTCAATCTGTGGACAGCATGCTGTTTCGTCCTTTGTGGACTCATCAGCGCAGCACAGAGGAAATGAGGCCAAACCTGATAGCAATGAAAACATAAATTTTCCAAAGCCAGATTTAAACCACTGTACAATTATGTACCTGTCGCCGTCAACACGAACCGGGTGACTTTCCAGGATCGCCTCGTACTTGCTTGCCAGCTGTTCAGCAATCACTGGCGTGTCAATGTAGCAGTACGTGACGTATCTAGACGACCATGGAGCGGGTGAGTAGTAGAGGGTCTACCAGTTGCCACCGAAGATATTCTGCAGTCCGGTGCGAGGTGCTAAACCCTGCACCAGCAGTCTCTCGCGCCCGATTAGTTCTCCGCTCGTTTCGTCGTCGTGTGACAGGGATTTCAGGCACTTGTGCATGGACAACTCAGCCATTACGTCGAACGGGTGTTGGCCAATAGAACAGAAATACGTTTCTTATTTTTGTTGGTACAGAAAGAAGTACAATGTCATGTACTAGTAGTTCGTTTAGCAAGCTGAAGCAGAGCTGCAAACTGCAAACCGATACCATCAAAGGTTGCAACCAAGACTGCGCCAAACAACAATGCCTGGCACTAAAGTACTGCTGAATGGGACCACAATGCGATCGTAACTAGGCTAGTATCGATCTTGTCCAGACTCGTTCAGGCGATATGACGGCCATGAGTCCATTGCCATAGCCAAGAGTAGGCAAGACATCGGTTGGGAACACACCAGAAGACTGCCGCCCGTACCGGTACTTTCGATAATCACTTGCCTTTGGAGGGACTTTCCCCGTCATTCGACATCGATGGGCATGACTTATGTTACTATTTTTGTACCACATAGTCATTCATTGTAGCTGTCACTAGCTAATAATGCTGAGTGACGTGAGTGCAGTATGACAGGCACCAGCACGCCACAGCACGCCACATATACATATGCACAGTGACACCAGGACACTGACAGCATGCTAGCAGCAGCTTTTTCTAGAATCAATAAAAGACACTTGCTGCACCAAGACAAGTGGCAAGAGTGCCTGAGTGGCAAGAGTGCCTGAGTGGCAAGACTCCGGCAAGCCAAGACTAGGCAAGGGTACTGCTCCACCAAGACTCAGGTCAGGGTAGATCTACAGCACGTCTTGCCTATTGTAGCCTCTTGCCAATCTTGGGAAGACTTGGCTGCACTGATGAGGGTAGGCATGGGCGGGAAATGCTAGCATTATGGCTGGCATTATAGTCCCTTTTTTCCAGGTGGCATAATGCTGGCATTATAACACCATTTCGCATGCAAAATTGGCATTACAAGCATAATTGCCGGTCGACAACGGTGTCATGCATGAAGCTGTCTAGGTCCAGTTCCGAAAATCGTGCATCTGAACCCGTCCGGCTTCGTCCGGAGACTTGACGTTGCAAATCAACCTTCTCAGTGGATTGTTTCAGACAACATGCTCACTGCTGTTTAAGTATTTTTATTCTACGCTTTGGCCTTGATCCAAGACGGCCTTCTTAAATCGACTTTTCAAACTTTCAAACGGGCATTATGGAGTAGTGCGAGCATTATAAGTGGCATTACAGTAAAACCTGTGACTAGCAACCACCCCTTGGTGCCAGCAAAAGCGGTCTTTAGTGGCAGGTGGTCTTTAGTTAGAGGTTTGCACCGCGCGACCATATATGGATCCCATTTATATGATATGTATATCAACATGCAGCTAATACAATTCCCCAAGACTTGCGCAATGCCATTCTTATTTCAGGTCAAACAACACTTGGAGAGAAAGACGGAGAGATGGAGAGAGGCAGAGAGAGAGAGTGAGAAGATTTTAAAATATTTTTTGCGGACATCAAATTCAGCTCCTACTTCTGAAGCCAGGAGTCAAGCGCTCCCTGTGGAAGTTTCGTTCTGCGCTGGGCTTCAAATTTGTTCATGCGATCAATCGTACCGACTGTCCTTGTTGCGACTTCTTGATTGCTTGAACGCGATCCTTCAGCATCAGGACCTTGCGGTGCTGCTTTGTTTCTGGATTCCTTGATGCCATCGTCGATTCGTGTGTGTTACTGGGGTGATAAAGCCGCTTAGTCTTCGTTTCTCCTCCGAGTAGTAACATCAATCAGAGAGCGCTTTCGATGCGCTCTCCAAGACGTTTCCTATCATGTTTATTCTAGACAGCGCTTGAAATTCTGACAGGTGTAGTGCAGTCCACATCGACTCCACAGTCAAAATGATCTGCGTACATTTCTTCAGCTGTAGTATCGAAAGATTCCTTTCAGGACCACGGAAAATCATCAAAATTTCAAGAAGGAGCTTGAAGCAACATTAACGCGGTCGCTAGTTACGGGTCAAAAATCATCTTTGGGACAAGAAAAGGCGGTCGCTGGTCGCGTTCAGCAGGTAGTCGCTAGTCACAGTGCATTTTGAATGTGAGACCGTCCGTGCCTGGCGAAGTGGTCGGTAGTACCAGGCTGGTCGCTAGTCACGGTGGTCGTTAGTTACAGGTTTTACTGTATATCCTCATACTATGAGCATTGCCTTTAGCATTATCGCAGCAAATACCTAGCCGCGATGATTATCCGCACATGCCTAGATGAGGGGGGAATGAGTGACAGCCAGGGGAGCTCTAGTCTAGAGTAAGTGGAGGAGAAACAATAATAGAGAGCTAGCCTAGAGGGCTCAAGCAGTGGTTGATTCTAGCACAGCACTTTGAAGTGCACATCTACTTTTTTTTGTAGTTTCTCCACGCCAATGCAGTATAGCTCTCCTCCAGTCGTTCACAGTTTCCCCATATTATTTCTCTAGACTTCATCCGCTGTCAATATCCTCGCTATCTGGCTCATTGTGGGATATCTTTCAATAGCCTACATATTTTATGATTTCATTTGCCGTTTCCTTGGCAAAGCCTTCATCAGTATTACGGCTGTCAGTGTCCAGGTGTCCCGTTCGATAATGAGAAATAAAGTCCGAGCAATGATATTGCGACTTCGGCGGTACTTAATTTAACAGGGAGTGTAAAAACCCTACGACTCTCCGTTATTTACAATGTACTAGTAATACTAATACTAATACTAATAGCCCCAAAGGAGAGCAAACGATACGCCCCAGCCATCAGTCCGCAGCAAAACTCGAAAAGCGTCTTGAGAAGTTGAGTGTCGTGGAGGGCATGGCCAATCTCGAAGCCGTTGCCGAGGTACGAGGCATCGCCCGACAAAACCGCCAGGAAAAAGTCGGTGGGTGCCGACAGCAGCAGACAGAGCTGCTTGCCGCGGAGGTTTCACCGGTCCAGTGGCAGCTGCTCGCAGTAGCAGACGAAAAGGGCGTGTCAACGTGGTTAACAGCACAACCGTCCTGGAAAAGTCCCACCGTGCTGAAGAAGTCGGATTTCAGAGACACGCTATGTATACGCTACGCCTATGGTACTGGAAAGTGCATTTTTATTATTATTATTTTTTTACTATGTTCACATAACCAGCTCGAAAAGAATAAGGAAAGACAATGTCAATGGTACAGAGACTAGGACAAACGTGACAACTAATGAGCAGGCGCTGCACCGAGACGCGGCAGTGATGGTGGGGCATTGATGACTCTGCCAACCTGAACCTGAGGTACTACTAGGTCTCGGCGTCACGGCCAAACACACTCACCAAAAGCATGTGATCATTGCACATACACGTACAATGTCCAATGTACGTGTATGTGCAATACAGTACACGTACATTGTACAATAATACTTTAAAATAGTCATGATTCAGTCAAGTGTTCAGTTCGGCAAGAAGAGTGTGCTCGTCGTTGGAGCAACCAACTTCATGACTAACACCGCCGAAGTCGCAAACGTCTAAGTTTAATAGTACAATAATATTTTAAGAAAGGGGTTGCTCCCCACACCGGAGCTCGCGCTATTCCGCCGACTTTACTTGACACTTGACTGACTCACGACTGCCATCCAGAGCACACGAGAAGTCCATCGAACCTTCGACTTGGCAAACCTGCAAGAAGGAACCACTCCCTGCTCAATACACAGTGTTTCGGGGAATTCACCCCTCATCAGTTGAGCTTGAGTAGGCTGAGGAAGATTGTGCCTGAAGAGCACCACTTATATACAATGTAGTGCTCTCCAGGCACAAACATCACCTGGGATAGAAACTTACAGAGACGCTCCGTTTCCAGCGCGACAAACACCTCGTGAACACCAGGAGCGACACTGACTCACGCTGCTATCTGGTGTTCACGAGGTGTTTGTGATTTTGGTAGGAATTATGCGAAAAATTATGCTAGCATAATCTGTCAAGGCCTATCCGGTGTGGGGAGCAAACCCTTTCTTACAAATCATCGCCGAAGTCCCAACCACTACTTCGTAATAATATTTTTAATATTGAAATAATAATTTGGCTTCTTCAAAGGAAGAGTAACGTCACTAGTAGATACAATCATGTATTAGTAGTACAATGTACAATGTACATGTAGTGGGTTCGACAAGACTGCGAGAACAGACTGATATTTTGTATCTCAGCTAGGCCTTTGCGGATAATGCCGGCAGAAAAATTGGCAGAATTCGGTACTTTTTCTGGTACATGTAAGTTTCATGCATGTTTGGTATGTGGATAAAGAAGTGGAGCAGAATTCGAGGAATTGCCCGCCATAAGGTTTGTATGGTTCTGCCAATTTCACTGCTTTTCGAGCAGAATCTGCCACCTTTTCGAGCATTATCCGCCAATGCCTAAATTCTCAGCTCACTCATTCCGATTCATTCCTGTCAGCCAACGGAAGATTTCTCACACAAACTGCATGCTCTTCATGCATGACATCGTCTTTGAAAATACATGTAATTGAAGGTACATGATTGTACTGAGTTATAATTTCCCGTTTGTCTCTTTCCCTCAAAACCAGTTAATGAGTTATAATTATTCATAACTCTTACATTTTGTAGCTCTTCGCGGACACGTGCGGCACGCAACAATTATTATGGACGCGTTCGAATTGTCTTCATCAACTGTTCAAACAAATTTTATAAAGAGATTCCCATTAGAACCGTTTCTATCATTTTTAGAGTTTTTCAGTGGAATTGTCATGGCGATGATGACGTCCGATTAGATCGACGATCTCCACGTGCTACGTGACGTAGCTATTCCAAAATCTTCGAAACTAATCCACCTTCCCATCGGATTAGATGAGTTTCGAGGAGTTTCGAGGAGCTTCGTTTTTCTGAAGAGGCCAATGAGGCCACCTCTTCAGAAAAACGAAACTCCTCGAAAAGTCAAAGAGTGACAATTCGAACGCGCCCTATGTCACAGGGATAGCTATAATATGCTATAGGGCTTGGCCAATTGGGAGGCTTCACACAACGGAGGATGCATTTTTGAAAAATGTTTTCCGAAAAAAACAGCTCATCAGCGTCTCCCCGGGCCCATCTCTACTCTAGTGCGCTCTCCACTATGCACTGACTCTGCTTCTTTGCAAGTAACTTAGTTTTACAGCCAGTATTAGAATACTGTCTATTGCCACTACAGTACTTTGAGAATGAGCTGTTCATGTTCAGCGACTATCTTGGATTGTTTCTCAGCGAGTCTATCAGTGACCCATGCATGGACAAGGACAGAGAAGGAGTCAATCTTTTGTAGCCATTACTGGCATTAGTTTAGAGTTTACTGAGTGACGTTGGCCTAGCGAGTAGTACGTCGACTGAGAATACTCAGGCCATGCAGAGCTCGGAAAAGCAAAGGGAGCCGCCAGCAAGGACAGCGTGTTTGAAATGCTGCTGTCAACTAATACAAAATAATTACTTACTTCCTCACCCCGACGTGGCGGAAACTCGTTCTGACAAGTTAATTGCAACTACCGTAGCGTCTGGAGTCAGTTGCATGATTGTATAGCAAGGGATGAGAAAGCCTATCACCACAAAGGTCCGACGCCCAAGGTACTGACGTGACGCACTATTCAACAGTACAACTACACCGTCAGACTGGGCAGCAGCTGGGCATAGCTCTGCCAGGAACCTGCCTGTGAAACCGAGGCTGATTTCAACAGAGTCAGAGGTAAGCAGGGACTACGGTTGTTCATTCTACCCCCCCCCCCTCCCCCCAAAGGGTTCCCTAGGCTAACACTCCCCACAGTACTAATCAGTTTGGCTATCAAAAGATCACTAAAAACCCAACAATTGTTCGTAAAAATGATGTATTTAAATTCAAACAAATAATATCTGAGATGGAGAAGTTGGGTATTCAATGATCAGGCCTGTGAGTAGCCATTTCCCCAAGATACCAAATTTTTTCACCACTTGCTTTTCGCAACCATGCCAAAACAAGTGAAAGTTGCTGAAATCGCATCCATATTTTCGGAAAAGCTAAAAAGTTGCTAATATCGCAACTTGAATAAGAGAGTTCATGTGCATGCAATGATGGAAAAACAACCAAAAAAATTCTCGGTTCGCGTTAGACTCGGCTGGAGGCCGTGTCTTTCGCATCCGTAGCAACGCCACCACCCTCTGTGGGTAAAAAAAAACCCAAAAAGGACCGGGAATAGACAACACTACTGCCTGAGGAAGTCATGCGTACATATGCTAAAAAGTTGATAATATCGCAACTTAAATGAGAGAGTTCATGTGCCTACAATGATGGAAAACAACCAAAAAGGAGCGGAAATAGATAACACCTTGGTGCAGCACAACTGCCTGAGGAAAGTTATGCTTACATATGACGGGGAATACAAGCTAGCTATAGAAAATAGACAGACTTGGAATGAGTCATTGTTCTTTTGTTAGAGCTTCGCTCAGTGGCACAGCAGCATTGCTCAGTGCTGCCACATACTTCGAGAAGTACGTTCGATGCATGTTTCAGCGCTTCCTGTTGAAGCGGAGCATCACGGATACTTCGACGGTCTCCTCCAGGGCGCTTCTCTGCTCTTCATTGAAGCAACTTGAGAGCAGACTGAAAACTCTCTCTCTGATGCAGCAGAACTTGGCTGCACCAGCACTTCAGTACTTTATGCAATACTGCCTGCCACAATGGTAGCTTCTTCTCATGAGACCAGCATTGCCACTTCTGTGCAGTTCGCTGTCCAAACACACTCCTGCACAAGCTGCAAGGTACCATGGTAACTCTTCCACCATGCCAGTCAGCTCTGCATCACTTCAGAATGGAAGGCAGGACAGGCTCCGCACTTTGTCAGGCGTTATGTCAAGGGACTGAGCGGCAACGGGATCAAAAAATCGTGCCCTGCGAAACATTGTCACCGTTTCACCAACGTCCATGTTAAACTTCCGCGAAAACCATGTGATGGCCGGCTGCGCTCCGAGCAGGGTTTCAGTGACAAGTGGTGCTGATGGAATGGCATTTTCGTCCCCAATTTCTCGGGCAGTTGCCTTGAGATTTGGGCAATCTTTCTGGATCAGAGCAGTGGCTACGAATTGAAGTATCCTATAGCAGGAGAAGACAAGAGGACCGTCACCTTCAAGAGCATAAGTTGCCTGCACAAAGTGCTTACGAATATCAATGAAGGCAGCCAGCTGAAGACGGATTGCGTGTGCACTGTGGGGTGCTTCAACGAGGTCCAGCAGCTTCCTTGTTGTCGCTGGTGCAATGCCTTGCTGTTCTTGAAGAAATGGTAGTATGTCACCAAAGTAAATGCTGACTTGGTTCAGCATCTCCCATTTGGACCACCATCTGGTCGGCGACTAACCTTCTCATGGACGTCCCAGTGGTGACCTTCCAGGCAAGCTTCACTTCCTGGCTATGAGCAAATAATGAAGTCCATAGTTGCGCAAAGTTGTCCAGCTCTGGAAAGTCAAATCTCCTGCCAGCATTGTTCAACGTGTGCGAAAAGCACACAACGTCAGCCATGTTTGGGTAGAACACGGAAAGACTTCGAACAGCAGTAGTGTTGACACTTGCACCGTCGCGCATTGCTGCTACCACAAGCTCGGCAGGATGCTGGTACCGTGTGGAAACACACTTGTTGATAACCTGGGCTGGCTGTGGTGCAGTTACTGCCTTGGCAACAGTGGTAAGTTGCACAAGCCATCGCTGGATCTTCCAGTCGTCACTTACAAACCTGGCAACAATAGCGATGGCTTCACCCCATCTTGTTGTGCCATCAAATATCAAACTAATGGGTTGGTCCCTTAGCTCTGATGCCAGCAGTTTCCGCTCTTCATCCAGTATGGCTGGTATGTACTCACTCATGTGAGCAGATGATGTCAGCCGAAACTTCTCCTCAAGCAATGGTCGGAGTTCGTCGATCTTGGTCAGAGGGATTCCAGCACGAAGGAAATGCTCTACAACTGACATCCTGTGAAGTCTCTGTGCCAAAGGCAGGGTTTCACCCACTGTGTCAAAGGCAGGGTTTCACCCACTGGCCGCACGTCTTTGGCACACTTCTGCATACTTTCGGTGAGTCCTTGCTGGCGGCGTTTCTTCTCCTTCCGTTCAGCTTCAATAGCGCGAACATGTTTGCCTGATCCCACGTGCTTCTTCATGGAACTCTTTCAAAGACAATCATGGCACGCACGACAGAATAATTGGCCGTCTCTACGAACGAGGCTCTGGTTTGGAAATTCGTTAATGCGATCCAAGATACTCTTGTTCTTGAGCGTTCTTTCACCTCTTATTGCGGCAGGCTTCGGTGAAACATTCTTCGGAACGGTACGAGGACGAGCAATAGCGGCTGGACGAGGTAAATCTTCCGACTCGCTCTCAGAACTAGACTCTTCAGAGAGCTCATAATCCGTACTGGAGGAATCCAACACTTCGCAACGTGTTCTCGCGGCCATCATGCGGAAATGCAGCTACAGAAACTCTCCCTCCTGCTGAGAACTGCAATTTTACATCTTGAAAGAGGGAATGCACATAGCGCCACTACCGTAGATCTACTGTTTCTCTGAAATGAGTCCGAAGGCACGAGAGAAATGAGCGAGTATGCTCTTTACATTTTCCTAGATGACTGTACCAGTAGTCTGTGACTTGAACTTTTGACCCCCATGCCATGCGCATGCGGCCAAGGTTGCGGAAAAGCAACACCGTTGAAAGTTGCGAAGTAGTTCGCGAAAATGAAGAAAGTTGCGAAAGTTGCGATTTCTTCCAAAATAGCGAAAAGTTGCGAAAAAAAGTGGCGAGCATCTTTGGGAAAGGGCTACCTGGGAGCCTGTAGGCATAGCTGGCGAAACCGCTCATTTTGCATGCAGCGTGCCTACGTGTACGTCCAGTACTAGACATCAGGTGCAGTCAACTTCGCTAATAACGACTGCGGATATGACGACAATTCGCGAATAACGACAGAATTTCCATGCCCAGAGCAAAGTTCCATCCAACTGTAATACATTATAATGAGACTTCGGGTATACCGACACTTTGCGAATAAGCACACTTTCAGTCTGATGCCCCGCTGCCGAGTGTGGTTATAAGCCAAGTTGACTGTACTGACAGGAGTCCACCATGACTGCGTGAGTCTGTACGAGTACGAGTACATGTCAACTGTGACAAATGACCCATACCATGTGCATACTATACAATCATGTACATCGAGTAACTGTACGTTCATCATTCTGCTTTTGTCCGCCACATGCATGTACATGTATATGGATGTAAGCATCAGGATTATTGATCATAACTTATGGTCACTTGAAAGTACAAAAAACACAATTTTCTGAACTTCGAGGCCCCATAAGTACAACAAAATGCATAACTATCCCCCATAGGAATATCATTTCCATAGTCTATGCATGCCAGAGAACAACTTAGAATAGAGAAAACAGCACTTCTTTTGTAAAAGTTGTTTTCCTTTCACCATGATAGCTTCAGGCAGTTTCCTGTATGACAAGAGTGGTACCTTGCATCACCGTGCGTATTCCCTGTCGTGTCCTTATTGGTTATTTTCAACATGGTTCTGAGGTGCTGCCTGTTTCTTGTTATCTCTTGCTTGAGCATATAATATTATTTCTTTGTTGAACAATTACCACAGGATTGTACTTTTAAATCAGTCTGATAGAAAATACGTCCTTGGCTTTGGCAGCTAGTGTCCCTTGCTGAAAAAGTAAAATGAAATGATTCCGCAAGTACATGTATGCCATGGTTGGCTCTCACCCTTCATTTCACATTCATTTGCCATTGGCAGTCGTTTGACGAGCCGGGAAATGTTGAATAAATACAAAATTTAATGTACTTCAAGTAGTGTATGTTTGCCGAATAGTAACAAATAATAATTCTTACATGTACTGGCGGTATGTTGCTTTTTCTGTTGACACATGCTTAGGCTTGCGGTGTGTCTGCAATGAATCTGATCATAGCCACGGTATGGTAGTGACTTCACAAAGGTATGTCTATAAATATAGTGCAGTGTATTTTTTATGATGCACTCCGAAAATACAGGGATTTTGAATATCACGCTCCCTAGCCCTGGCTTGGTTCAGCACTCTTTCTGGTTAGTGTCAAAGTTACCTGCCCTTGTGTCAAAGCTCAGGCTGTGTTTCTCGTTGTTGGAGCACTTTGGCGTTGATGCTTTGAGCCGGTTATAAAAAGTTTCTCACTGGACATTGCGATCGGTTCGGTCAGTGACTCTGGGCTCTCCTGAGGAGACCTAGCAGGTCGAAACAGCTAGCTTTCCTGAGACTTTTGTTGAGCAATCTCAGGGGTTTAGTCATGACTGTGTTTATTAATTGGCAAGGAGGGCAGAGAAGAGAGGATAGGTGAGGGAGAGGGGCTGCTTGTAGACCAAGTACATGACTCTACACTAAACTCTTCAAAACAGTGGTTGAGAAATGATTACTTCTTCAGTTTGAACAGATTGACCTGTTCTTACTTGTACAAAGAGGTGTGAGCCATAGAGTGATAGAGTATAAAATCCACATTTTTTAACTGAACCAGGGTGCACTATAGAAAAAGGGGAGTCCAGTGGAATTCAATCTGGAGGTGGGGGGGGGGGGGGGGGGGGGTATAATCGTGTAGTGGGAGACTACGGTCTTAGATTTCAGTGGGCATCCTTTGGCATGTTACCTGGCTACTGGTAATTAATGGAAATAGGATGTTCGTACTGAAGAGCCAAACATAACCATACTGGAAATACAGCAAGTACAAACACAAGCAATATAAGTACAAATGTGCTGTGAATTGGGTCCCCTGCATTCTAGGGTACACATGGATTGTGGGTGCGGTCAGGGCTACGTCTTACCAAGCCAAGATAGCGTATAAGGCACGAGCTTTGAAGTCGGAAGACAATGACGGTTGTACAGTCTCTGGCGAGATAACCACCTCAACATACTGAAGTAGAGAGAACATCCCTGGCCCGTAGCAACGTCTCAGGCTTGGTCAACGTGGCTGATTTCAAATTTATATTTAGACATTTCCATTTTCAACGCCCCCAAAATTCTAGCCGTGATTTTTGAAATTTCTGCGGAGTACTGTACTGTGATTTTTATATCAGCAAATATGGACGTGCCTGATCTCTCGCATATTTGTCATTTCAACCTTTGTGTTAGGTCGGATTGTAGCTGCAGTGAATATACTACTGTCAAAGACTGCAGGCTCATGCTTTCATATCATCTTCTGGATGTCATCCGTCTTATGTGTCGCACTATGTACATGTATGCCATGAGGCATGACTTTATCCAGTGGTTTCACATGGGTTCCCTCCTTTGTCATGTGTAATCCTGATTGTTGATCACAACATAATTATGTTGATCTGGAGAGCCTTGAGCTGACGAAAAAGATCCAATGTGTTACCTCTGCTAATGCTGTAAGTCATTAGTAGTTACATGTACATCAGATCAGGCCAAGCTGCTACTCCCAATACTGTAGTGAGCAGCATGTGTGACTACACCATTGCTTTGTCATAGCCAACTTCTAGAATTGAATTACTGCGTTGATTTTAGTCCTGACGGTGGCTGTGAAAAATTTCCAGTAACTTCTTCCCTAACAATCCCCTTGAATATTCATATCGACTCGGAATTTGTAGTATTTTGCTTTTCTCTATGCATACAATTCCGGTGTTCACGCTATTTCCATTGTTTATGAACTGGTGTTTTGACGGTGAATGAATAACTTGAGAGTTTCCAATTCGGAATGTTGTATTTGAACTGGAGCTAATGTAATGGTGGATGTTGGATGCTTCATCTTGTGTGGATGCCCTTCACTTCGTGTGTGTGATAGTGGAGTGTGTGTGTGTGTGTGTGTGTGTGTGTGTGTGTGTGTGTGTGTGTGTGTGTGTACGTGCGTGTACGTGCGTGTTTTTTTCTTCTGATGTGTGTGTGTGGAAGGGGTGGCATGTGTGTGTGTGTGTGGGGGGGGGGGGGGGTCCGTGCTTGTGCATGCTCTGTGTGTGTGTTGTTGTTGTTGTTGTTGTTGTTGTGTGTGTGTGTGTGTGTGTGTGTGTGTGTGATGGTGTATGTGTGTGTGTCCGTGTGCATGTTGTGTGTGCGCGGGGGGGGGGGGGCAGAATATTGCCATGGTCACCAAGTACTTGCATGCATGACAGTGTTACTCACTTCCACCTGGGTTTGAGGTTGTTGGCAATGCGTTGCCATTGGGTACATATCGGTATAGTTTAACTTTTGATCTGGGTGTGAGAGCTGTGCAAGGAGATGTCAAGGCAACCGCCTCGGGTCACGTTTCACTTGATTTTCCATAACTATATCCACTGAAGTGCAAAATCCTATAAAATAAAAACAGCAAGTAGGATGGTAGGGTGGGGATGGTGGCTTTCCAGCTTCTGAACTAAACTATGGCCAATTTTGTCAGAAAAGTTTCAAAAAGTTTGGAACACTTCCTTTGTTTCTGTTTTTTCCCCAAGCACTTCACACCTGCAGCCCATGTATGACCGTCTACCACGATCCCAAGCTTCCACACAGATATTGCATGCCCTAGCCCTAGAGGCTAGACGCCCTGGACAGCTTCTAAATCTTTCTTTGTCGGTTTCTAATATGTAATAATATGTATTCTTGGTACTGACTGGCAAGCTCCGCGCGCGCGACACATAGGGGTGCAGATCAAACATGCCACACTGCATGTCATATCAGGGGAGATGTGACTTCACACATGTCATCAGTACTGACAGTAAAAAAAGAGCTACAGCCTGGTTTCGAACCCAAGTCTTAGCAAGACGAGATCACACTTAGTGAAACAAAGTTTATCAACTGAGCCATGCTGGCCTGATGTACAAGAGAAGCCTAAAGCACACACATGTACACTTCTAACAATTCCAAAACGATATCTGACCTTGCGGCCAACACCCAAAACTGGTAGGACACAGTTCAACCATATTTAGAACAGACATACATGTAAAAACAAACAGGCTGAGTCACAGTTGCTTGTACACCAGCTCCAGCTCTGCAGAGACATGGAGTGATCGAGATTTTTTTAAACCGTGGTAACTGCTGTATCCATTAATGACGAATCAAAACGGAAACGTCCTAAGTCCTACAAGTACAAGTAATCAATCAATATACGGGGTCAATATGTGATGGTATTTGACCGCTTAGAGAACATAAGTTTCCATGACGGTACTGAATAATAAGAGAGTGATAAATAACAATTCTGCACAATGCTGGTCACAAGGGCATGCCAGCAAAGCACATGTATGAGTCGTATGCTCACAAATTATGATCAGCTATTCCGGGAACTATTGGTAACAAGCATGATGTAAAGACTGCTGACTGGACATCATCAACACTGTGTTGCATTGTTGGGGAAAGTGAAGCCAGTAACCTAGCCCGTTCCACCACCAGTCCAGACAACAACTGTGAATGAATCAAAGCCATAATGAGGAGCTGCAAGAACAACAAGTAAAATGTGAATGTAGAACTCTGACATGCACAACGTGTAAGAAGTGACCTCCGGCATCATCATCCTGCAACCATGTTGCAGGAGTACACATAGTCTGACAGTGAGTGGGGCAGTCGTATAGCAGTGAGTCTTGCTAGGGAGTGTGCAGAGTCAAGTTGATGGGACAGATGAGGGCCTGTTTCCTGCAAAGGAACACAGAAGGCACATACCCACAGCATTGACACCACTGGATTTGTATAGCCTGTATTATTATTATTATCAGCCTTTTCGCGTCGACATTGCCAAACAAGCTTGGCTAGTTTTCGCCTATCAGAACTGCCACCACAAGTGCCACCACAACACCGGCAACGCAACGGCTACAGAATGTTGGAATGTTGGAGTCCACCTTGTTCGTTCTGCCAATATGCCCATGCAAGTACTGTTTTCTATGAACTTTTTTCAAATTGTCATGCGTTCAATGCTTCCTCCCCCTTGTTGTGTACATCTAGCCTGTATGCACCTGTGAATAGGTGTTGCATACAAAATCAACTGTACTCACTGTGCAAAGCACTGCGTAGGCAAAACCGAGCGTTATCTCGCAAACAAGATGAACGAGCACCCATCAGGTGCACGACTTCACAAACCGAATACTAATACCGCTCAGGGCAGCCATCACACTGTATCATGCCAAGCAGGAGCTATGCAATGTCCGTCTAATAAGAGCATTGGGTGTTTCCATTCCCGGTATGATTGCTTCTCCTGTGCACTCATACCTCAGAGATATCTGCACCACAAAGATATGGTCAGTGCTCACATTTTAGCCAACCGGACAGCACCCTTTGAATGACTAAAAAAAAGGATAATTACACTTGTCTTACCGATCACTTAGTTGAAATGGTCTAGTCGTGTTGGGGCCCATCCCCCTATCGAAATGTACTACCGTAAAAGTCCGTAAATAAGTACCTGCCCGAAAGAAATACCCCCTTCAATCTTTTGGCCCTGTCTGTTGAAGTCAAGTCAAGCCCGATAAACATACTGCCCGAAATAAGTACTGGTACAATGCGCACATGCAGCACGTAGCATGTACATTGACATGAAAATGACTTCTCCACTACACACAAGTCAGTTCCGAAAGTTAGTTCGTGCCCGAAAGTTATTACCCGCCCGAAAGTTAGTACGGGTGTGGTCACTAAATTCGAAAGTAAATACGTACTTATTTACGGACTTTTACGGTAGTATGTGATTCAGAATTAAATTTAACCCTTTAAGTGCCATAAGTGGTTGACAAGATTTTCCTGTCAAGTGCCACAATCAGCTGAGCAGGAGTACTTTCTGAATGCCACGGTCAGCTGGTTCTCACCCTTCCCTCAGTGCCACGCAGATTTTTGCAATTGTGCTATTTTACAGTTATAAACTTCAGGACGGCAAGTGATGGTGATATATTGCTACTACTCAAAGATAATGTATACATGATATGTTCAGAATATCATCAGCAACATGTTTCAGAGCTCAGCATGCAGAAAAATAGTAATGCCAATGAATGCAGCAGTGTCAAAGTGAAAATAAGTCAGCAAGACGGAAATGCGCACATACAAACTTAGTTTGCAGCAGCGGTACAACGTAGCAAAAACTGCTTGTGGTATGGAGATAGTTGCTAAATTTCACAGCAGTAGCGCAAGGTTATGCACTAGTCCGCGTACCGTACTCTGTAGTCGTGCAGGGTGTGAAAGCGCTGGAAGCATTCACCGGGACACATCATGCGTACGCACTGCACGCACTGCCAGCTAGTTTGCTTCCGGTGGTCCGGTCGTCTGCTGCACACAACGCAGTCTCGCTTCCCTTCAACAGCTAGCTGCGTACAAAAGTGTCGCTCAGTTAGCCGAGCTGTGTCCACATCGTCAGTAGTTGCTGGTACAGATCTGCGACGTGGTTCACCAATCGGCCACTGTGTTTCAGTGAACAGGGAAGCGATGAGCGCCTTGTGGAATTCCTTTCCGTCAAGGTTTTTGCCTGTCATTGCGTTGTAGATTATTTTCGCGTTGTGCACCGAAATTTCCAGCAGCTGATGGAAAAGGATCAGGTACCAACGGCGGTGACGATGCGGGAATGCGTAGTAGCTCAGCATCTGATCCGCCTCGTCCACGCCGCCCATCAAACTGTTGTAGCTGGCGATGCATGATGGCTTTTTCACGGACCGAACTCCTTGAGGCGCACGCCGGTCGCGAATATCTACATCGACAACTTCACAAGAGTGAATCGTCGAGAGAACTGTCACTTGCTTCTTGTCCGGCCAGGAGCATGTGAGAACTGTTTCATCTCTCCAGAATCTCGGCGGCGTGCCCTTCTTTTTCTTGTCCTTACATGCTGGTGGAAGCCCTTTCCGATTGACTCTCACTGTGCCGACAGCTCCCATTCCACGGCGCGACGACAGCCACTGAAATAAGGTAGGTGACGAATAATAATTGTCCATGTACACTACGTGCCCTTGGCCGAGGTGTCGAACCAATTTCGCCACTATCTGACTGCCCTTCGATGTGTCGGCCATGGCTACGTCTCGGCCCTCGGCCATATCCTTGCCGGTGTACAGAGTCCACTCGTATATGTATCCCGTACCCGGCTCCGCAAGGACGAATGCTTTCACGCCCCACTTGGTCGGTTTGGCCGGCATATATTGTTTGAATGATAGGCGACCCTTGTACGCAATCATTTGCTCATCCACAGACACATCCTTCTTAGGGTAGTAGGACAGTCTGAAGCGCTTGACGATTATGTCCAGGAATTTACGAATCTTGGCGAGAGGGTCTCGATACCTGCCGTGCTCGTCATACTCGATGGTTGTGTTATCCACGAAATGAAGGCACGACAGGATCAGTTGGAAACGATTCCTGGACATAACCTTGGCAAAGCCGGGTGTCTGGTAGAGCCAGTCCGTCGTCCAATGGTCTGCCAGCGCTGGTTGCTCCACGATGCTCATGGCGAGCAAGAGTACGAAAAACACTTTCATCTCGCGTGACGAGATGTCATGCCACTTGCGCATCCGGGAGCTTGGAAAGTGAGCGCCGAGGGCTTCCAGTTTTCGCTGCGCATACAGATTTGTTTGCGTGACGGCTATGTCCACGACTTCATCCGTGAACATCATAGCGAAACAGTCTGCCGGCGAGATGTTTTCATCGGCCTGTGCCGTTGGCCCACGTTGGCGAGTTACTCCCGGCAGCCATGCACTCGCATCCGCGGTGTCGTTGTCAGCCGTGACGGTCCGCCAGTTCCACACTCGCGGTTGTTCTTCGTCGTCTTCGTCGCTTCCTTGAAGGTCGCTATCGTCATCTTCGCTACTGCCGACATCGAAGCCTTCGAACTCAGACTCATCAGACTCACCGTCAAAGATTCTGTGGATTTCACCGTCAACTTCCTCCTGTGTCATCTCTACCTCTCGCGCTGCGCCTTGAGTCGCCATTGTCACTCGAAAGTGTTTGAGTTTTGAACGAGCGTTTCTCGCTTTTTATAGATACGAACACCCGGTTTTTCCTATTGAACTAGATACCTCCACCCACGGATAACGCCAGGTCAAAAGCGTGGGACGGAGCTACAGACCTCTGGTACTGTAGGACACGTCCAAAAATACCCCTCCGTCGGGCTCTTCATAGAGCCTTGGCATTCCCACACAGAAGTGTGTCGGACTCTCTACGTCGCCCGTGGCACTGTAAACTAGAAGTACACAGGGCTCATTTCGGCAGCCGTGGCACTTGACAGGTGACAAGCCAGGGGCTCTTTTCGTCGACCGTGGCACTTAGAGGGTTAAAAAAATTCCATGGTTCGCGTGAGACTCCCCCTGGCACGAGGGAAACATGGATGCAGTGAATGGGATTTTCGTTTTTGACCACTTTGACCACTTTGATTCAGAGTTACTAGTTTTTAAATCTTGCGGCTGGCAATGCCTGGCCCCGGCCTACCTGGATATAGAACACGGTTATTAGTGTACTTGTTACTCCAAAGTGCAGCATCATGCATGAGCTCCATTAACTAGTTGCATACTACAATCACAGACTATTATTGGATAGTTGGTTGCTTCCCACAGCGGAGTTCGCGCCTTTCCGTCGACTTGACTTGTACGACTCTAACTGACATCCAGAGCACACGAGAAGTGGTGCTCTTCAGACACAATCTGTCCCATCCTACTCAAGCTCAACTCAGATGAGGGGTGAATTCCCCAAACCTTGTGACACTGTATAGTGGGCAGTGAGCGGTGCTTTCTTGCAGGTTTTGCCAAGTCAAAGGTTCGATGGACTTCGCATGTGCTCTGGATGGCGGTCGCGAGTCAGTCAAGTGGGAGCTCCAATGCCGGGCGCAGCCAACTATCGCCGGAAGTCGCTACCACCATTTCCTACAGACTACCATAGTAGTGAAATGGCATGTGGCAGAATATGTCCAAAATTTCCTGACGAGTCCAGTAGGGAAGAAACGACTGCCGCAATTCGAGGCAAGCCATCGCTGTGCCGTCGCCTATGGACCAGGTGCAAAATGATGTAACCAGCCACTTTAGTGGATATCACAAGCCATGCCTTAACCAACTGCTAGGTGAAATGTGCGAACTGATGATGGTGGTAAGAGAAAGTGTGCTCTTTGCCAGAACTTTGCAGCAAAGTATCATTCGAGAGGCCCATGGGGCATTTGCTCTTGACACTGCGCCATAGTTTGACATCCGCCTGTAGTATGGAATGATACTTTGTGAGCATGTGTTTGTCACTTCGTCACTTCATTGCTAAGCTACGGCATTATCATGGCAACTGAAGAATGGCTGTGGCGTGACAATGGTGAGGTGCTGTGTGGTAAGTGAGTGGACGGAGTGAATGCCCCAGGGGCCTCTCGCGTTGCTACTTGCCGTGCTATGCTGTGCCATCTATGGAAGTCACACCTGGCTATCACTACATGACTGTACTCTCACTAACACCCTTTATACTACTAGTATCCTCAGTGTGGTCTATCAGTATCGCCTTTGCTTAGCCTTAATCTTCGCGCCTAAGATGCGCCATTATGTTTCCCCCCTTTTTGCGCCTAAGATGCGCCATTATGTTTCCCCACTTTTTGCTACAAAAGGGTGAAGTTCACTATCTGTTAGCCATTCTACATTATCAACCTTCACTGACGAGATCCTGATGATCGAAACAGCTGCTGTCTGAAGGAGCAGAGTACCAACTGAAGTGTCGTTTTGCTGATGGTGTGCTGTGGCAACGTGTTGAGGTCGGCCGGAGAGCGCAGCGGTGTGGCGTGGTGGTTGATAATAATAATAATAATAATACTTCACTAGTTTGAGGGAAAGAGACAAACGGGAAAAGTCTGAAGAAAAAATTGACTGTCACCACCAGGACTCGAACCAGGGACCCTCGCTTGTAGCTAGCGATGCTCTTACCACTGAGCTATGGTGTATTCGTCATCCCAGCAGAGACTGTTCAACATTTTCTTCAGACTTCGTAACTCACACGTCCTGTGAATCCACACAGGCGGGTGGGACGCAGCCCTCACTGTACCCACACACTTCACGTACACTCTAGCACGCGGGGAGCCCCAAGTCATAAAATCTTCACTAGTTTGAGGGAAAGAGACAAACGGGAAAAGTCTGAAGAAAAAATTGACTGTCACCACCAGGACTCGAACCAGGGACCCTCGCTTGTAGCTAGCGATGCTCTTACCACTGAGCTATGGTGTAGTCGTCATCCCAGCAGAGACTGTTCAACATTTTCTTCAGACTTCGTAACTCACACGTCCTGTGAATCCACACAGGCGGGTGGGACGCAGCCCTCACTGTACCCACACACTTCACGTACACTCTAGCACGCGGGGAGCCCCAAGTCATAAAATCTTCACTAGTTTGAGGGAAAGAGACAAACGGGAAAAGTCTGAAGAAAAAATTGACTGTCACCACCAGGACTCGAACCAGGGACCCTCGCTTGTAGCTAGCGATGCTCTTACCACTGAGCTATGGTGTAGTCGTCATCCCAGCAGAGACTGTTCAACATTTTCTTCAGACTTCGTAACTCACACTTCCTGTGAATCCACACAGGCGGGTGGAACGCAGCCCTCACTGTACCCACACACTTCACGTACACTCTAGCACGCGGGGAGCCCCAAGTCATATATATACCGTATTTTACCGGTTGTAAGTCGACCCCGGTTGTAAGTCGACCTCCCTATCTGGAGGTCTCAATTCTGCGTTTTAAAGTTTTCACCCAAAGAAGCACTACTAACCACCTCCTGCTACTAACACATCAACAAATCATGTAAACATTCCTTATTGGAGGATATAACGTCCCAATCCTTGAAAAAATCCAATAAACTGGCAAAATGTGTAAACATGGTGCACTCGTGCATGCAGTGCAGGTCATTATTTTGTAAGATACTGATAGTTCCCGGTTATAAGTCGAATCCCGGTTGTAAGTCGACCCCCACCCTTTCTCCTTCTATTTTCAGTCGTAAAAGGTCGACTTACAACCGGAAAAATACGGTAATAATACTAGTCAATTTTTTCTTCAGACTTTTCCCGTTTGTCTCTTTCAGTGAAGATTTTATGACTTGGGGCTCCCCGCGTGCTAGAGTGTACGTGAAGTGTGTGGGTACAGTGAGGGCTGCGTCCCACCCGCCTGTGTGGATTCACAGGAAGTGTGAGTTACGAAGTCTGAAGAAAATGTTGAACAGTCTCTGCTGGGATGACGGCTACACCATAGCTCAGTGGTTAGAGCATCGCTAGCTACAAGCGAGGGTCCCTGGTTCGAGTCCTGGTGGTGACAGTCAATTTTTTCTTCAGACTTTTCCCGTTTGTCTCTTTCCCTCAAACTAGTGAAGATTTTATGGCTTGGGGCTCCCCGCGTACTAGAGTGTACGTGAAGTGTGTGGGTACAGTGAGGGCTGCGTCCCACCCGCCTGTGTGGATTCACAGGAAGTGTGAGTTACGAAGTCTGAAGAAAATGTTGAACAGTCTCTGCTGGGATGACGACTACACCATAGCTCAGTGGTTAGAGCATTGCTAGCTACAAGCGAGGGTCCCTGGTTCGAGTCCTGGTGGTGACAGTCAATTTTTTCTTCAGACTTTTCCCGTTTGTCTCTTTCCCTCAAACTAGTGAAAATAATAATACTAAGGGAGCATCTCATAAGTTCGCATTTTTTTCCTAAACGTAACGCATTTCGAAACGGGGGTAGGGGGGTAACGCCCTTTTCAAATAGAAAAATGACAGTTCGCACATTTTCTGGATGTGTACATATCATGCAGTGAATGTTCTACATAACTAGTACTTCAGCAAATGAGTGTGTTTAGGTGTACATCTATATTATGTACCTGCGTTTGGAGATCAGCACCTTGCATACACTGCATGTATGCAGGCTACTCAGAGGTGTCTAATGTCACACCAGCCTGATCAAACTGTGTACCTGGCCAGCTTTTACAGAGTCAGTACATAGTTGTTGTGGAGGAACTATGTTTATGTGCGTGTACATGACTGTCATTCATTGTACTTGTACTCAATATCTACATGTAGATGAGGTACTACTGACTACAAGTAGTCTGTATGCCATTCACTTCGACATTCATGTCCATGTACATTTGTACAGTCATGTGCATACCATGGCATGCATGGGCATGGACATGCACAGTACAGTATTACTATTAGATCCACACGGAAAATGTGCGATAAGACTTTCGAATAGAGGGGGGAGGTAGGGGGGTAAAGTCTATTCGAAATGCGTTACGTTTACAAAATAAGTGCGAACTTATGAGATGCTCCCTAAGTAGTGGTTGCGACTAGTTGGTTTGGAGGTGACAGCGTTGCGAATGACCGAGGGTCCTCGACGTCTGTCTCACCGTCCAGGAGCGACACTGACTCACGCTGCTATCTGGTGTTCACGAGGTGTTTGTCGCGCTGGAAGCGGAGCGTCTCTGTAAGTTTGTTTCCCTGGTGATGTTTGTGCCTGGAGAGCACTATATAAGTGGTGCTCTTCAGGCAAAATCTTCCTCAGCCTACTCAAGCTCAACTGATGAGGGGTGAATTCCCCGAAACACTGTGTATTGAGCAGGGAGTGGTGCTTTCTTGCAGGTTTGCCGAGTCGAAGGTTCGATGGACTTCTCGTGTGTTCTGGATGGCAGTCGTGAGTCAGTCAAGTGTCAAGTAAAGTCGGCGGAATAGCGCGAGCTCCGGTGTGGGTAAGTTAGCAAACCTTTCTTAATAATAATACTGTTATAAGAAGCTATATTGGTGTCTTCATATCATTCTACCAACCGTCTATGCTATACAATACTTTAACAAATAGGCAAACTGCATCAGTCCTGTACATTTCTGCTGTCATCTCACCTGACTAGCTGCTGTCCATTTGACAGCACAGCAGTAGAACCTCCAGAGTCGCTGGCTGATCAATTGCATCGTTGCATGTTGGTCACACTAGGGCTTTGAAGGTGCAGCTGCAGGTGTGGGTGTTGCTTTTTCACCCAGGACATGGAGGTGGAAAACGTGACAAGATTCGACCCGTCGTCATTACTCTTGTAAGTCAGCTAACATAGCAGATACCAGACAAAAAACAGGAAAAGTACAATTCCCCTCAAAAGTATACATTGCTCCAATTCAGTTCTTCAGAATCCGTTTGGCCTCTGCCTTCAGCTTCATATCAGAACCTACCTGGTATTTTGAGCAAACCGCCCCAATTTCATGCTGATATTCTCTCATTTTAAACAGGGTACAAGATTCAGCGACTATTTTTGTGTGTGTGTGTGTGTGTTACGTGCTCACATCCGACGGCTTTTAACCCTTTGAGGACGAAGGACGAATACCGGTATATCCGTTTTTTAAGGTATAGCTGGATTCCTAAAGACGAGTATATCCGTTTTTGAGAAAATTGCGATATCGATATACTTTTAGGTGCTTGAAGTCGCTCATATGTTGCTCAGACGAGTACGATCTGATTCTTTGTCAAGGTGAGGCATGTCGCAGTCGATCCGCGTCGGTCCCGTGGAGAACCGGCCACATTTGAGTATACTCTGAGAATGCGCCGATCGAGAAATTATTTGGAATTTGAAACTAACTTGTTACTTTGTTGATAGTGCCGATGGCACGTAACCTGTCAAGTGTCTCCTTGTCTGAGGCCCTCGGCATTATCTTTATGAGCAGCGATAGTGAGGATGAACAGTATGATCCTTTTTTACTTTTCTGAAGATGACAGCTGATGTCAATGTCTCTTTAGAATCAAACTTTAGGACACTATATCAATTTTTGAAAATCCCGATTTTTGGAGAAAATCGCAACATACACCTACTTAGAATTGACCATTCTGACCTCTATAATGGATATATGATGTAGCAACTTTGGTTTTTGTTGCCTACTGATGTCTATGTCTCTTTAGAATCAAATTTTATGACACTAGATCAATTTTAGAAAAAAATTATACCGATTTTTCGCCTGAAATGGTAGGAATCCAGGTGGTTTTGGGTAGTCCTCAAAGGGTTTTAAAGATACTGCATCATTCAGGGTTGTAGTGCTCCTGCAGCTGCTAAAATCCAGCCCAAACTGACTCTCACGTGAATCGTATTTTTTGGTAGAGCACTGGTATGCAGGAAGTCGAATTCGCCTCACATGCAGCTTTAGCCGTAACTGTGCTTTGCTGGTGTAAGCACTTAGCAGTGTCCTGTGAACAGTCTGAGAACACGGTAGCGTTATCACGGTACGTGCTTGGTATGCAAGGCTAGCACTTCAAGGCACGGCCAAGCATTACGTCACGCACGATTTGTACATCTTGCCGGAGGAAGTGCAATCCAGTCTGATTGGTACGTTTTCGCCTGAATACAAGCAGCAGCAGCAGCAGCAGGGTGTGTTTTCTCGGATTACTTGATGGTCTGGCCGATTTCTGGAGCTGTATGTGATCAGATATGATCATGGCACGCACTTATATTCTGAGATTACTTTTCTACTTCAGAAGTAAATTATTGGTCTAGTAAGAAGAGAATGAAGTTGAAGACACCGCTGCAGCTGTACTTATGGTTGATAAATATGGTGGTAAAGACACACCATATATGTGTCTTTACCACCATATTTATCAACCACAGTAAGAAGAGAATTAATGAAACTTTCAGATTTCAGAGGGAGTCAAGGGACCGCTAGCGACCTATTTCCACAAAAGTTAGTTTCTCCAGCACACGTATTTACATAACTGTAGTGGTATAACGGAGACACCCTCGATTTTAGCCTAAGGCCTGTGTGGAGAATCCATAAAAATCAATACAAAATTAATACAATAGTTAATACAATCCTACAATGTCTTCGTTGCAGGAAACCTTTCAAACCCTTCAAACCGGTCACTTCCTGTCCAAGCATTGAGAGGTCACCTTGTTGGTCATCTTGTCCCAGGGAGACAGCCAAACCATCAGTACTAGCAGTCCCCGGCTTACAGTAACTGGGCTATTGGGTCCAGGCTTCTTCGCTACTATTTCCTTCAACAGCTTGCTTGAGCGGCTGTGCAATTATTTGGCGGAGCAGCAAACGTCGACCACCTTTCCCACACTGGCCACGGCGCTACAGGTCCGTTCGACATGGTATCAACAGACCACCATGCATAGGTTACGCTAACGAGAGAGCTTGGAAGCTCAGTGCCCTACGCTATGCTTTTTTGCCTTGATGACCTAGACAAAAAAGCATTGATATGATTGTTATAAATTCTTACTTGGTCCGCCCAGTGAAAATTGGCGCTTATCTTCACACTTGTCTCAGGAAAGAAATACGAATATTTGAAGCAAGCCACGACCACAAAGCACTATATACATGATTATTTACATGTCAGTAAGCAACTCAGTCGAAAATTCAAGCAAGTTACACATCCTCCTCGCCACTATCGTCGCTGGAGGAAGAGCTCAAAATGTACGATCTGGACAGCTGCTGAACGGGTCGTTTCATAGCTTGTTCCACTTCTCCTCGTCTCGAATCACGCTCAAAGGCAGTGCGTGCCTGTCACCTTCCCATCAGAAGCTGAGTGAGACTGCCCGCATGTTGACTGTAAGTGTTATCCCCGTTCGTCGCAATAATGCGCCTTTGTTTGAGACAAAAAGGCAACGCCATATCAGTGTCCTTTTTTCAAATCGCCTCTTGCGCTTGTCGTACTTGCTGATCAGCACCCGTACCCACGCGAGCCGCTGGCGCTTGAAGATCTACATGCAGCGCAGTGATAGCTTCCGCTTGATGTAGCACCTGTGGCCTGTGCGTACTGCACCTACAACGCCGTGCACCAGGCTTTTCGGCTAGTTTCCTGAACGTCCTTTGCACGAGTGTTTCTCTCAGGACTTGGTGTTTTCTTTGATTAGCTCCTTTGGCCTGTCCTCTGTGAGCTTCAAAGTGTGTCCGCCGGATTGGTCTCATTTTCTGGAGATATCGACATGAGCTGCAGTTTCATCGTCAGCGATTTGCTGGTGATAGCCCTTCACTAGGCGCTGTACTGTGCAAGCAATGAAATTCAAGCTCGCGAAGCGCTTTTTCAGCTTTTCTATACCTCTCCGGGGTAAACAATCCTTGCCATCCGACAGCTGGAAGTAGACAGAAACTGTATTGTCCATCGCTCTGAAATGTGAACATCCTGACCTATTTTACGGACTCGAGCGGAGGTTGCAGTGTTTTCTTGCGCTGACGGAAGTGTTCGTCGGCGGCAGCTCCGTCAAAAAGACTCAAACGAACCGATCGCAACTTCTGTGATGGTTTGTGCTGCCATGTCGTCGGATGCAATGGTCAATGGTTATGTTCGGATGGTGAATCAGTGGTTCCATGCCGTGTGGCACAGGCAGAACACCAAAAAATCAAGTTAGAAGATAAGCGCCAATTTTAACTGGGCGGACCAAGTATAAATTTCTCCTTTTTTTTAAGACATAACTCGAGACCAAAAAACAATAGAGATTCCCGGGCCCTCCCGCACCAAAATCGAGCCAAAGCCAATTTTTTATTTATTTTTGAACAGTTCGTACATGTACAGTACTGATCGTGTGACTAGATTTGTGACGTGGAGTCACACAAACCCGAGCTTGTACGGCTCCCTGATGTACAGATCAGGGCCATCGTTGGCCGAAATAATAGAAAAATTGAACGGGTAAACCGCGTACCTGTTGTCTGCAAAAAATGAATCAAAATTAACGGAAAATGCTGGAAAAAAAGTTCAACATGGCGTGCACACATATAGTCATGTACATACATGGAAAAAAAGATAAAAATAAAATTCGCCCGCCCGCACCAATTTCACATGGGTCCTGCCCAGGAATCTCGATTTTATTTTGGTCTCGCCTAATCTGGGATTCGAACCCTCACTATCGCCCTGCATGCATCCCCCGATACACTTCGCATACATGCTAATTCTTCCAAGTTGCTTCACGTTATGATCTTGCATTTGAAAGCCCTATTTGAATATGCAATGTGGCCAGCCGTCTTTGATGGTAGAGTAGACGGTTCGATACTGGAACGCTTTGACAGCCAAATTTGTATAGAGCCAAACAGATCATCAGCGTTGATTTTTCACTCGAAATATGTTTGTGGAAGGAAACTGGCATGTTGAAGTTTGCTCTGGGGCCAGAGTCAATCGAACTGAGCCACTCCTTTGTGTTGACCCACTGCCTCCAAGTTGCCCAATTTTTCGCTTCAAAAAAGTTCAAATCAGAGGTGGCTCCAAACCGGACACGTTTTAGAGTGCACGTCAAATTCACTCTGGATCTGAAATTAGATTTGTGAGTTGAACAAGTTGTCAAGTAACGTGATGGTGTTCAGCTATTGAATCACAGTTCCTACAAGCCCAGCTCTCTAACATGCTCGACCGTGTCACACGTGCCTGTGTGTTGCATCCCGTCTCCAACATGCCCAGCCCTACGTGTTCATCGTTAACTGTCGTACATTTTCGAATCGCGAACGCCTGCTCCATCACGTTGTGCAATGCTGGCGGAAGCTAAGAAAAAGTGGTGAAAAAGTGCTTTGTTTTCCCAAAATGCAGAAAACTCAGACCAAGAAAGCTGTAGTTGTGAGAGGAAGAGAGAAAAGAGAGAGAGATTTATGATGGAGGAAGCCGCAAGCGCCGCAAGTGCCAGAACGCCCGTTCAACAGCCACCGCAGGCATCCCCTGCATCGCATCCGTCATCCCTGTCACCGCCTGGCTCACTGCTGTCAGGAACACCACCTACGTTGCATTCGCCATCCGCATCGAATTGCGATCGCAGATCAGTTGGATATGTAAACGCAAACCCGAGGCTTATCGCATCGGCATCGCAATGGTCACCATCACCACCACCACTACCACCCAGACGTGCCCGACCACCACCACCACCACCACGCTCTCCCGCCTCACCAACTCCAACACCACCCTCTATCACCTCATCCTGCCATGTCCGCCACCTCCATCACTGGCAGCAGCAGCAGCAGCAAGTCAGAATCATCCATTCAGGTGCCTTGCATGCCTGAACTGAGTTGTACGAATTGCAGAGGGCGGTGTGATCTTGGGCAAAGACGATGCACCACAGGATGCATCCTAATCACCTTGGCGTTCATCAAGTTGGCGACCATCATTGCTACATGCACTAAGGTAATGCTACTGTAACTCTGTGTGGGTGCGTGCATGTGTGGAGCTTTATTGCTAGTGATAGTGTGCTTTGCCCGTATAAGTGGCTTGGAACAATAACAATACTCTGTGCGTGTGTGTGTGTGTGTGTGTGCGTATCTTTAGCTCTCACTCTGTAGAGACATTGACAGTAGGATACAGTGTACCGTATCCTTCATTATAGTGAGCTCTACAAGCCACACAGACCAGCAACACTAAAAATGCGTTCAAGTACATGAAGTACACAAGGCGAAATCTTTCTTACCAGAAAACAGTTGGCTGAGTGACGATGACACATTGCCACGCTGCGCTGCTGCTCTAGGGTCGTTGTAAACGTTCTTCCTCTTACGCTTGGCGGCGCCAGTCCACGTCATGTCGGAATGCTGCATCGGTTCCGACTTCTTCCCGTGCGGCTGGTTCCAGGCTTGCAAGTGACCAAGTCCCTAGTATAGCCAAACCGAGTAAAGTCGACTAAGGAGTAAAATAGGGCAGCAAGGTGCTTGCAAGACCCGTGGGGACCTTTGCCAGCGGGACACGAACACTCGGCATGGGTGACACGCTCCACGGTATGGCAGTCAGTGCCACTGCCGCCCTTGGTCTGCACAGACAGATGGAGCTTGATACGCCTTCAATGTACGCATTTCGGGCTCATAGCGAGCCTTATAGTGGACGCTATTGCTGGATGACGCAACCTCTATTTTCTGCACGTATCCTCTCTCATAAAGTCTTGATGATTTGTTGTCCGTGGCAGAAATGGCTTTAAAAACTGCTGGCTGACTTGCCATCTCCAGCAACAGTATCCAGGAAGTACTGCAGCATTGTTCGCACACTGACCTCTGCGCACAGGAGGCGACCCGCTACAAGTTTTTCCACACCAGAGTTGGGGCTTGCTGGTCGTCCACTCCAGTGGATGACACATGCATGACACTGCTCGTAGCTTGGTGAGGCGAAGCTGCAACTGCGCTGGATTCAGCCGTCACCGCAGGTTCGGGTCTAAACACAAACAAATCATGACAGAGCTTGATTTAGTTGGAGCGTTCAGAAAGACAACTCGAAGTTTATTTGCATTGCCCTTTCTGATAGCCGAAGCCAGATATATTTGAAACTAGTTTCAAAACAAGACCAGTGCATTTCTCGGCTGCTAGAAGGAAGCAGTCACTTACCGAGGCGAAGAGTCACAGCCTGGGGTAGATATGGCACTGGTACTCTGATGAGCAATGACCCTGAGCGAAAAGCAATAAAGGCAAAGCGAGAAACATCGCCTTCCTGTTGTTCTCACGCTACACGAACAATCGATTTTTTTCTCACCTGTCCAAAAGCGCGGCCTTCTTTCCTGATCTCTTCAGCTTGTTCCGCACGCAGTAATCGCGGAGAACGTTGCACGTCCAGAGACGGGGATTACTGGACACCGACATCGCCTTGCTTGACACTAGATGTCAAGACTGTTGACTAATTTCCCCCCTTTCCTGAACCATGCTGTCAGCACACACTGCCCAAAGCAACCACAGGTCTGAGGGTAAAATAAGTCTAAAATGGGAAAGCAGTATACGCTCGGAAAAGTAATCAACGCACGAAGACGAGAGAGGAAAGAGTTCATCACCGGCCAAACATCTCACCGCGATCTAAACGCAACTAACTTAGATAACGAAAAGGAAGAGGATATAGTCGTAAGCCATGGAAGCATTGACCTATCAGAGCATTCCACGTAACCGGCTCACAAAGGTGTGCCATCTAATGTATGGTAGTTCCTCGAACAGTTTCTACGCCGGAGGAAGAAAAGCACCTCTAAACTATGTGGGCAGTCATACATGCAAATGAGAACAACAATGAGTCAGCGGCTAACGGCAGCTACAGCATCTAATGTATTGCCTATTGGCAACCACTGACACAAACTTTTGGAGAGACCTTCTAGAAAGAACCAAAGCGTCTCATCATATTCATAACGACGGTTACGTGTAAACACAGCTTCTAACAGCCACATACGCAGAGTACATTGCTGCTGAGTCAAACACAGCTGGCAAGCACTGTAGTCTGTAGCCTAGTATGATCATCCTAGTATGATCACCCTCATTATTATGATAATGCAATAGACCAATCCCGAAAAGATTGTCTGGATAATGCAATAAACCAATCCCGAAAAGATTGTCTGGGTTCGAAAGGGGGCATGTCAACTGAGAGTACACTGTACAACACATACATGGCACTACCTGATCAGCATGCGGCACAGGACGTGTTTGATAGTTCGCGTGTGAATGCGAGGGTAAGTACACGGTTTTCTCGTTAGTTGCATGCAAGAGCGACGATGCGACAGAAAGCGAAGCCCTTTGTAGTTTTCTCTCTCGCACTGGTAATGGTCTGCTGTTGGAGGCGAAATGCTAAGACATAATCCTTGTTTCGCTCTTCTGTGTAGTGTGAAGAGGTCAACGAACATGTAGAGTTCACTTTGATGAAGTAGGCAAGGCTGTGAGCGCTGTAGCTCAAAACGATAGGCCCTAAATCTTACGAGATATTTCGAGTGCTATTGTTTGTTGCGAGCGCTTCGTCTTCGATGAGTCCTGCCTCTTTCGTGGCAGCTGCCCTCCTATAGGATCAACCACGAAGTGACTGTACTCATCTGCAGCCGATCAATTTTATATTGCACAAGAAGATATCGTTTTCGCCAAGCCAGTGCCCCGCCAAAGACCATCGCCGTGTCACACCGTCGGAACGAGTTCATGATGAGAACATCATTCGCGCGAGCGTGATGAAGAACTATTTCGAAAGACAACATAGTCTTTACCCCCGGGACGACAACTATGTGCACGTCCTGCAAGGGGAGAATGTCACCAGCGATATCAACGAAGACGACAGCAGTATTTCGGAAACCTGGAGTCAGCGGAGGTCGTCAAGCTCCTCCGCGACCCGGTACATGCACAGTATAGGTGACATGTCGACACGAGCGTGCGGAAACACAGCATACACTGTAGTAATGTTGCGAGAGTTTGCGGAAGGAGTCCAAGTCGGGAAATCCATCAGCTCCAAAAGCTACCTGTAGGTGGGCGATGAGACTCCAGCTTCAGACTACAACAGTCAGGACTTGTAAATAGTTGAACTTTGTGAAGCAGCAGATCGAGAAGTTAGCTGAAATCGTAGCTGTTGCAGTATGTCGGCGCTATGAAGCTTGCATTTTTTACTGAGAGTCGATCGCCACGCGAATGTTTCTCTCCTCACCGAGAGCTATCTGGCCTCCAAACTCCGTCAGGGTCTCCCTGAGGTACCGAAGGTCCTTTGACTAGCTGCTGGCAGGACTCCATCAAATCCTTTAGCTTCAGCTCGGCGAGCAAAAGTCTCTCTCTCCTCCGCCATGAGCTGACACACACAAACTGAATACAAAACGATGCACTTCACACGTGCTGGCTTGCACGCGTGCCCCCTTTCACGAACCCAGACAATCTTTTCGGGATTGGTCTAATGTGCACTACAGAAGTAACTAATTACTTGTATTTTGTAATCATCCAAACCACAGAATACACTAAAACTAGCACTGTTGGCAGGTACTGCACGTTCCTATTAGTACAGAGTACAGAGCTGGCTGGAAGTACAGTCACGCAATTCCACAACAAGACTCGACATGAACTGACCAAACTAAACGCCACTTCGTTCTTCAAAAATGCAGCAACCATTTATTTTTAGTCGCTGTTGTTTTTTCGCTCTTCGCCAGACGCTAGCGCTATAGCTGCTGCTGCGCTGACCCAGTGTCCCCGCAGTCACGGTCCAGAAAAACCCCACCCGCCATTTTGGATGAATACGTGCCATTCGGCATTCACGACGGCCAGTACAGAGTAACACTAGTGACCTTTATAAATTAAAAAAATTATTTAGCACAACGACTAGTTACGTTGTTTACGACGTAAGCCTGACGTGGGGCCTTGTCCGGGTTCGGGGTCACGTCGCGACGTAGGATGTACAGTGTTGGCCAGATGTTTGGGCCTACCCAAGAGAAAACAGGTTTCTAGAGAGAATCTTTGAAAAGTGCACGAAAAAACCTTATGAAGTTGACTGTCTAAATAAGAGTCGACATTCCCACTCTCAACGAGTTTACACCAGTCACAGTAGAGTATGTTGAAGATGTCTTGAAGTCATTGAACAGCCACAAAGCACAAGGTTCCGATGAAATACCACCATGTCTCCTCAAAGGATGCCGCACAGACATCGCTGGCCCACTCACCGCTATCATCAATACGTCTCTGCATACAGGCCAAGTTCCAAGTAGTTTTAAGCATGCACACGTGTGCCCACTCTACAAAGCTGGCGACGCAACTATTGGCTCCAACTACCGACCAGTGTCACTTTTGCCAGTGATATCCAAAGTGCTTGAGAAGGTAGTACACCGACAACTACTTGTAGCATTCTTCGACAATCATCCGGAACTCGGTGCACTACCGGAGGAGCAGTTTGCTTACAGGCGCAATCACAGCTGTGAAGACCTTTTGGCGTATGCAATAAACGACTGGCAGTTGGCCTTGGACAAGAAGCAGCTGTGTGGAGCCATGTTTGTGGACATGAGCAAGGCCTTCGACCGCGTTCATGCGTTGGTTCGCAGACTACCTTACTGGGAGAACCCAGCAGGTCGTTGTCGGCGATGCCCGAGGCAGTACAGAGCCCTGCTCACGTGGTGTACCACAAGGCTCCGTGTTAGGCCCCTTACTTTTCTGCATTTATATCCGGCGTACCCCTCAGAAATTTCAACATTGCCGTGCTCTCCTGTTTGCGGACGACATCGCGTTCTACGTCATTGGTCGCAAGGCTTCAACCGTGCTCAGAATGCTGCAGACAGATCTCTTGAATCTGGAGGACTTCCTCAGCGAGCGGGGACTGGTGCTGAATCCCAAAAAGTCTCAGCTACTGCTGCTCAGACGACCTACTGCGCAACTGGACGTGATCCCCAGCATCACCTGCAAAGGCACCGTAATCCCCGAGTCCAGCCATGTTCTGTACCTTGGCCTCCTATTGGACTCGTCGCTCAGCTTCGAGCAGCAGGTTGAGCATGTGTGCACAAAGGCACAGTGCAAGGTTGCCTCATTCCGCCACGGGCGCCGCGATGTCTCCATGACCGGCCGCCGCATGTTTTACCTGACAATTGTCCAGAGTACCTTGGACTATGCCAGCACATGTTATGTTCACTGCTTGTCTGCTAAACTCAGAGACAAACTTGAGTCAACCAGCAATAGGTGCCTAAAGCGAGTGTTTGGCCATGATCAGTATACTTCTATCGATTTCATTCTCACCAAATATAACCTATACTTTCTCTCGCCGTGTAAACTTGAAGCTGTTTGTGTTTGTTTTTAGGTGTCTATCTCGTTGCACCAGTCCTCTTTTAAGCACGATATTTACCCCCCCCCCCCCCCCCCCCGCTCTGCATCATGCCGCACAAATGCTGCTACCCGCGGTCAAGCTTCAGCTGCTCTGAACCTACCCAGAGCTACGTCTCGTTACGGCCTGAATGCTATTTTTGGCAGCAGACAGATGGAACATGCTTCCACCTGGATGTCGTCAAGCTAAGCCCCTTTCTGCATTTGTCACAAGCACCAAGTCATTCCTAGGGTTCCCAGTAAAAAGGCAACGCCTGTTGGGAGTTCCCTAGTAAAATAATAAATTCTACTACTACTACTACTACTAGAGATGATACTCTGATCCGTCCTTTGACGGCTACATAGTTGTGAAATAAAATAAAGTCAAATTAATCGAAAAAGCGTAGGCCCAAACTTACGGCCAAAATTGAAAAACAACAAAATCCAGGTGACTAGCTGATTGACATCAACTAAAACTAATCTAAATGATTTGTTTCCATGCTAAGAACCTATCAGTGAACTGCTTGCCCAATTTTACCACTTAGTAGGTACTCCCTTTGCCTTGACGGCAGCCTCCATGCGCGCCGGTATGGTCGCGACGGGTTTCGCGGACTTGTCCCTGCTGATCTTCCGCCATGCTCTCTTGCACACTTCCCCAGGCTGTGTTTCTGGTGATGGGACTTGGGGAACATCGTGGCAGAGTCAATTCAGCATTTCCCACAAATCCTCAATCGGATTTAGGTCCGGGGACTGCGCCGGACGCTCCAGTACGCGATATGTGCGGTCCGCCAATTACGCCTTTGCCGCGTGTGCGCGCAAATACACCATCCAGACCGCGCAACAGTTGACTCGAACACATCGACCATGGACGGCTGCATACTGTTCTGCAGTATTCCTTGGTATTGGTCTGCTTTCATCGCTCCGTTAACGTTGTAGAGCCGCCCGGCACCGTTGCCGGCGACGCGCTCCCGTATCATGATGTAGCCACCACTGTGCTTGACTGTTCCAACAGTACACTCTGGCACCAGTTGTACGCCTGGTCTACAACTGAAATACACCACACCACCTGGTGCTCTCATATTAAATTTAAAGGGGAAGTATACCCTAAAATCAAATTTTCACCAGTTGTAGTTTTAAAAGTCTTCTGGGTGCTGAGTCGAATGGTCTTGGTCCGAGGAAGCTGCGACGCTCCCTTCCTTCTTTTTTCCCAATCGAACCCGCGCACTTCCACCGAAACTGGGTGACTGCGCCCTACTAGATGGGGATTTGTATGCAAAATGTCACTAAAAGCGCCATTTTGTTCTTATAAAAGCACGGATGACCGCGATTGGCCCATATGCTGTAGTCTTTTGGACGCTGAGTCGACTGGTTTTGGTCCGAAAAGGCTGCGATGTAGCGTTCCTCCTTTATTCCCAATCGAACATGGTTGAACAAGCGGTCACGTGCTCCTGGGCGCCCAAATCACCTGGTCACCACGCCAGCAGGCGACAACTTTCACACCAA